TATTGCAGTCCAGCCTTCAGGGCAAAGTATGGCCAGGCGGTGTGACTCCTTGTCACATCCTGGGCTCCCGGGCTTGTAGACAACTTTTCCCTTGGCTGTGTGATGCTTCCAGGGTGAATAACTCCTCTGACAGAGCTTTCAGTGCAAGGGATTGAGAAGCGAGGAGGTTCTAAGTAATAAGGTGGTGTTTTAGGCGACAGGTAGCTATTCCAGGACGGGACCTCCGACGGTCGGACTGGAAAAGGCGCAATGTAACTCGCCGAGGCGTTACCAGGTTTCGCGACGTGCTCACTGGCGTATCCATGCTTGTCGAGACCATAGCGCGGTGGGTACATGGCGCTCTTGTACTCCTGTTGCATCGAATGGCTGAGGTAACCAGAGGACGCGGGGCGTGCGTTAGGGTACAGCGCAAACGGTTGGCAGTAGCCGTCGCTCTGTGCAATCTCACCGCTCACTGGCTCCATGCGGTTTTTTCTTCGGGGCCTATACCTGTAGTTTGGATGATCAATCTTGTGTTGACGCCTCAGGCGAATGGCCTCTTCTATAAAAGGCTTTTTCACGTCGTCAGACAGCTGCCTCCATTCCTCACCCAGGATCTTGCTGATCTCTGCGTTGCGCATTTTAGGGTTGTCCCTGTTCATTTGTCGTCTTCGTTCCTTGGCCCAAACCATAAAGGAGTTAAGCGGTCGCTTGATGTGAAGGTCATCGTGCGCTGTCAGATGCAGATCCATGTTGTTCGTCTCTGCTAGACTGTACTGTACGCTAAATTAGCGGCGAATGAAGCATTTAACAAACATATTAGCCCTTTTATCGGAAATCTGATTGTCTTCTGATTGATTTGAATTAACAATGGACTGAATACATATGCTAGTTAAAGTTCTTATTGTTCAGGCACGTTCGCTAAAAGCTTATCTTTTTGTGTCTTTCACAATTTATTTATTTTTGCAATCTAAGAGAGCAAGCGTTTCAGAATGAATCGTATCTAAATTATTTTAATAAGCGAAAGGATGTTTATCTAAACTTTCGTTTTCCACATTGACATAAAGTCTTAATGCATAGTACCATAACAAATAATTACTTTTAGCAAAGTTCTCGCTACCTTCTTGATTACAGAGATATAAAGGCTGTTCCGCAAATGCATCGTCGCTTTTTAACAATGTGGTTAAAACACGCCGCTCGGCATAAAAAGTCTAATATTAATTTTAAATAACATGAAAAGGTCATCTTCTCGAAGCCGCCCGAAATTGTTATGCGCGGTGCACTCCCCATACACTAGCCTTTGGGTTATGACCCAAATGCCCAAATGCCACAATCAATAAAATGTCTAAATTGCATTTTAATAATTAAGAAATCTATAAAAGTGGAAATTAAGGTATGTTTACTTTTTTAATCTACAGGTATAAAGGCTGCATCAGCTGCATGGTCTTTGCTTTGTTTTTGAAAATTGTCTTGGCTTCCGTCCTTTGTTGGTCCTATCATCGATTCAAGTTTCTATCTGTTGTGAGGGTTTTCTGTCATTTGCCGCCGTTTTTAGCTTGCAGTTTTGATATAGAAGATGTTTAAAACCAATACATTTTACACATATCAATGTGATCGTGGAAGCCTAGAGGAGAAATTCACAAAAAATCACAGAGTGATAATAACGTTTATGCCATTTATACCACTAATGCTTATACTGTGAAAAAGTTAAGTGTATTGTCGTGCCACGCGCGTGTATCGACCCTGACACGCGCTATGCATGCTAGAGGCAACTCACAACTTTAATAGACCTACGGTGCTTTTGATTATTCAAGACAGACCCGTCAGAGACTAGTGGTAAAAATCCATTAAATTGCACGAGAAATTAAAGTCCGGTAGAAACTGTTAGAGAAATTTTCTGAATCACCTGCACGCGCTGAATCCGGTTTCATTTCTTCGACTGAAATTCTGGTTACTACTTCCAAACAAATCTCGATCTAAATTTTGGAACTTTTTGGCATAATCAGTAGTAAGCTGGCCGTTTTCAATTTGTAGCTGAGATTGAATTAGAACGCCGATACGTGTGTGTGTTTGCACGTAGAAAGATTCCCCTGCAGTCGTAAGAGCCGTTAATTCTATGCTCAAGCGGCAAATTGGTCAAGTGACCTGAAAGCCGAAACGCGTACAGAAATATCGCCAGAACCCCTGAGTTAACTTACACTTAGAAACATGGTCACAAAGCCATGAAGGCGAAAACGAAATTGGACAGTTGTCGTTCTTAAAGCCTGAATAAAGGAATAAGCATGGATCAGAGTGACTATATATAGTCTTGTACAGCAATAACTGGGCGAAATCTATAACTTCGTACTAGATGACGTTCCATGCTTGCTACCTAGCAGTTTATTGCCGCGAGATTAAGAAAATGCTGTGTTATTTGTAGGCTAGCCAGCGTAATTTGAGCGTTTGACTGCATTCTCTGTTGCTTTTATTCCTAACTATTTAGTTCTGCTTCAGCGAAAATAATAAGGCAAATTTTTCGTTGATTGCCCTAGGATTCTTTGAGAGAGTTTGTCTGGCCTAACTTTCAGTTGAGTATGTAATTATTTATTTACTATATTTGCACATCGTGAGAGAACCCAGATGAGGTTATCAGTTAGGCAGTAGAAAACTTACTCGAACTTGGGGGTGATTGAGGCTGCGTCGGATTTCAGTGTTGTCTGAGCCTGGGGCGAGCTTGGGCGAGCACCTTTGCTCTCCCAAAGCTCTCACCTCACTAGACATTCGCTTCTAGTCCTCGCGCAGTTGCGCGCAGCAGGGATACGGATGCACCCATTCTCGTCCCCAGAGCCACTCGGCTTAATTTGTAAGCGACCAGTGGCTCTCCCCTCGTTTCCCGACCACGTGACCAAGAAACGACGGGCTCTGCGGACGAGAATGGGATGCACCTTGCTACTCGAACCTGATACCAGAAGAGGTTATAGAGACATCCTAATTTTGCTTGCGAGTGTCAGGGAGACAGCAAATTACTCTTTAAGTTACATACTGTGGAAAAATACAAAATTTTAAAGAAAAAAAGTAAAAAATGAAATAAAATAAAAAGATTGTAAGCATACACAGTTGGTTGCTTAAGGTTTATCCGGGACATGCGCCGGTTCGCGATGCTTGACGCCACCTAAAATAACGCTTGAGAGTCTTTTCACGTTTAAAGTAGATTGCGCGCATGAATAGCGGCAGTCGAATGGACCCTTCCTTTTCCCGACTCATCTAAGAAGGTCGAAGGGTCTCTGCTCGCAGGATAGCTATCCCCTTTAAGGGTCGAAGAATAATTCAACCCCAAGGTCCATATTTCAACACAGCGACAAGGAATGCATTACCAACCGTCAAAAGCTTTGCGTCATTGGTCGAACAAAGTTTTGTTTTGTCTTTGTGTTTATGGGTGAATTTTCACAACCCACTTAACGGTGGTTTGAATGTTCAGGTAGGAAAATCTTTCTTCCACCACAGGAGGGTCTTAGAGTTTAAAAAAGAATAAAGATCCACTTACCGTCATCGAAGCGTATCGTCTGTTTTGGGGCGGCCATTTTGAATTGTTCAAAAGCGCGGCCGAGTATCGTGACGTCTGGAACCAAAAACAGCACTTGGGTCTGGAAGCAATTCTGGAAGCGACTCTGGAAGCCGTTTCAGCCCTCCACCACAATTAAATTTCTCTTGGCACGACAGAATACCCAGGAGAAATTGAAAACGATGGTTATACAATTTTTTTTTTGGTGGGGTGGGGGGGAACGAACTGCATTATGGTTTATCAGGAGCCGATAAATCGGCTCCTGGGTTTATGCGATGAATATATGAAATAGATTCATTCTGTTGAAAACGTCAGAGTAAGCTGCTGTTGACATGGAGCCGGCAGTAACAACGTAGTAACAGCAGTTTCGTTTCCGAAATCTTCGAACATTTCAAAGTTAATTTTTTTTCAAAGTTTAGCAAGTTAATGCATTGGAAATATACTCAACTTTGAACAATAAAAATAATAGCCCTAGCTTTGTAGTTTTACTTCCTTTTTGCAAATTTCTCTCATTTGATCTTGTTAAATCCTGATTCTCAACAATTCCAGCTATTCAAACCGCAGCGAGAGCTGTTCCAAAATCATAAAACACACCTTATATACGTTTCGCGTGAGATATATCATCCCATTTTGTAATTCTCATCTGATGTGAGACCCATATGCAGCCCTATTTAGTGAACTCATGAAGGGTCGCGACGGTGAATTCATGGTCACCCAAAGATTTACATATCATGGACAAAGATAACCAGCAAACATGAGTAATTTTTAATGTACATAGTCGTCATTTCCTTAACATTTTACTTCTACAAGTGCACTATTAGTAAAAATTCTCTGGCTTGAAGAAGCAATTACGTCTACGTTGTTTTTCTTATGGGCTAAAGGCGGTCTGCTTTTCCACCAACTTTAAAGAATATATGAGTGTCAGTGGTCTTTGATAATCCCCTTTTATGTTTTTTACGGGCGACAAAGCCCGCAATCCTAATCTCCAGGTTGTTATTACGCATGCGTCGCATTGCCGTTTGGACTTCCATTAAGAATGAATGCAATGCACATAGCGCAATCTGATCACGTGTGTTTTGACTAATTGTCACGTGAAACTTGCGCAAAGCACAGCGATGGAGCAAAAGCGTTTTGACCTTCGATAGTTGTCGCCCGCAATTCGCAACCTTTGGTTATTACTAGTAAGAAAAGCAAAAAGGGGATAATGGGGTGACCTTTATCATTAACAGAATCAAAAGCAAGAAGGAGAATTCTGGAAGAAGCAGCCTGTCGCTGTTTTCCAGGACTTCTCGTCACTTCTCTTCTCGAGTTAGTGTTAGCCACGGCTAAGCATGCAACTATTTCATCTTGTCTATGGCCTAACTATGAAAAATGAAAACCCCACTTTGTCTAAATAGATACTGCGTTTGAAAAACCTCCTCATGTTCATACACCTCAGCACCCAACATTAACAGATGTTCGCCCGTTGGGGTCCTTAATATCAATTGGATCCTCCTGGCTGCAAGCGTTTGTTTGTAAGGACGTTTCTTCCTGGAGTGGTTATGTCCGTGGTAGACGTGGTTGGCGAATTGTCACCACCTGGAATTACGAGATATTTGCCAGATATTAAGCATTGTTGGGTAATTTCCCCCTATTTCTTCCCCTTCCGGCCCTTTCAGAACTCCCACCTCCCGCTCTTTCCTTTACCTCCTCCGATACCCCTTCCGTCCCTTTTCTTCAAACCTCCCAACTCCAACCCTTTTCTCCTTGGCTTCCTCCCATACCCCTTTTCAATTGCGAGATATTAGGCATTGTTGGGTAATTTCCCCTTATTTCTCCATCTTCCTGCCCTTTCAGAACTTCCACATCTCGCTCTTTTCTTTACCTCCTCCGATACCCCTTCCGCCCCTTTCCTTCCGGGCTTAAGCCCCCTGTCCTCATACACTTATTGACAAAATTACAAACACTCAGTAAACCAAAAAAGAAAAAAAAAATGACAAAGAAAGAGGGATTTCGAGCATCATTCCTTTTGAATAAAAAGAAACCTAAAAGTAGAGAGAAGGCCTTTTTCACCTTTTTTTTTATTTACTTCAGAGGCACTTTGAAAGAAAACCCAAAATACTGAAGATTTTCATTTATATAAGGATGAACAAACCAAACATCAGCCCCACCCCACCCCACTAACCCTTTCCATATGACACAGAGTCAACGATGGACAAAACTCAAAGCTGTCACCACTTAAGCATAACCTCGTTTGCAATGCTTTAGAACAGCGTGTTCACTATTTGTCTGTAAGACTTTCGGGGATTTCGATTTACGACGCAATAGGTTACGAAACTATTAACCCCCAAGACTGCGTAGCCTGAGAAAACAGTCGACATTTCACGACGCCACTACTGGGTCCCCTGCGAAATGACGTCTGAGAAAAGAGCGCAGAAATTCCATACTTATGACGCGTCACTACCCAAATCTGGGAGGTGCGTCTGATTGGCTAAAAAATTGCCTCAACCAATCAGAACCACTACCCTTATCTGGGTAGTGACGCGTCATCTGATTGGTTAAGGCAAATTTTTAGCCAATCAGACACACCTCCCAGATTTGGGTAGTGTCGCGTCATCAGTATTGAATTTCTGCACTCGTTCCTCAGACGTCATTTCGCAGGGACCCCAGTAGTGGCGTCACGAATGTCGGCTGTTTTCTCAGGCTAAAGCGAATGCTTGATGTTTCTTACTTGCTGCAGTGGCGTCAACTTCATCATCATCTTCCTCATCTGTAAGTGGTTCATTTCCTCTGATTGTTGTTGGGGTGGAGGCCACCTTATCTAACAAAATAACAGAACGCAGACTTTTATGCGCTTTCCTGTGTAACTCACAAAGAATTTGTCACCAGAAGAAGCAATATTGTTAGGGCACAAACCTTTTTTTGGCGGGCTGTTTGGAGGTCGCGGGTGACAGAATGGGTAGGTGTTGTGTCAATTTCAACACAATGAAACTGTTTCTCGGGACACTTTTACTTCTAATAGTCATTTCTTGGTTGCGCGGGAAATTTCTCCCTCCCCTCCCCCGACACTTCCAAAGGATTTGGAACTACACACATCCCCGCAGCCTAAGACAACGTTGTTCCCAGGGCCTTTCCTTTGGAATATGGTAGGGACGGAAAAAGCCCTGGGAATAAATTTGACATGAAGGGATCACCGCCACCACACGAAAAATATCGTGGTCGCGCGAGAGTAGGCGCGGAAGGGTGAAATTACGGCTGTCATAACCTTAATCAGGTTCTGTCTTTATCAATAGTAATAAAATTTCTTACTGATGCATCCTCTTATTGGCTCACAGCGTGTTTGGCTACCCTGAAAAAAAAAATGTTAACGTCTGATATTGATCAAATTGACCAAACTTCAAAATGCAATATCTTTTAAAGCAACTTTTCTTTCCAAATAACTTTTTTCTCTGTTTTGCTGACGTTCTCGGAATAAGAAAAATAATAACTTAATCGATAATTACTGATAACGTAAGTTTTCTCGAATATTGTGTGTTTTCACATGACGTCATGGCGGCCATATTTGTGTCCCACAACAATGAAACGGCGGCCATGTTTGTGTCCCAAACCAGTCCTGTGGGAGTTGAACTCTTTTCTTATGTAAAAGCTTTCTTTTCTTCCAATAAATTTGCATAGATGCTGGCCACGTGAGTGAAAACACAGAATACGTACTCAATTAAAATTACCTGACAGTGGCAAACTTCACACGGCTCTTTTCGCCAAGAGGTTCCATTTGGTTTAAATTTGGAGTCAAAGATACATCCTTGACTATTAATACTCTGCTTCCAAACTTCAACGGAGACGAGCTAAACAAAAAAGCAATTTTGTGAGTAATGAGTAAATAACAATAAACTTATACCTATTCAATACACCACCTTGCAAATAATTACAACCCCGCGTTAAAATCAATACACCATTGAGCCAACTAATATACCATCGCTGTATACGTCACATTGCGACACCCCGATCACCTTCCATAATACGTAGTCTGCGTAGCAAGCATTTGAAGGCCAACGCGGGGTCCCTTTACTTGCTCGCTTATTAATTTCTACTTTCCTTCCCCTTCAATCGCCTGCCACGCAGCTACCACAGGTAACCCAGGCTCTGTGATAGTACCACAGTACGGTTCCAGTAAAATTACAGTGTTTGTATGGGGTAAAAATATCATCCTAAAATTTCTAGGAAATACTAAATAAAGATCAATGAAACTTACTCTGCAGTTAATTGTTGTTGTCCTTATTGCTCCAACGAAGTTTCGTGATAATTTGCAGTAATTTGTTCAAATTCATTCTATCTACAATAATAATATACAAGGTAGGAAACACGAGGTGCCATTTTCGCCGACATGCTCTCATTCAACACAACTTTTTCCACGAAATTCGAACTCCAACGGAAAATAAACATGCCAGGATCGTAGAAATAGGATAGCAGCAGATATAGAAACCAATGAAGCTTTCCCAGATAGAGAAACGAATCCCACAGACTTGGACAAACTCGAAGGATATAATCCAAACACACCGAGAATACGCTCGCCGAAGCAGCCGGGCCAGATCAACGCGCGGCCAAGAAAATGAAGCCTGGGCACTGTACAAAAAAATTCCATCCCGGGGGTCCTGGAGTGACCTTTCTAGGGACCGATACATCATTTGCCCAAGGCCACCCTCCCCTGCTGGAAAAATACTTGATAGAAGGCAAGTGTTCTTCTTAGCCAATCACCATTTGCCAGAGCAAACCCCGCACACGCGCCTGAATTTAAATGGCTAAAAAAAAAGTAATATAATCAGGAGAGTCTGCGGAGTTACAAGGCGTCCCATTTCTTTTACTAAGGAATGCAAATAACAGTAATGAAACTAATGAAAAAACAACGCGAAATGCTTACTTGGCGGGCTAAAAACAAGGTTGAACAAAAGGTAGATGATGACTGAGATACTGTTGCTGTGAACTCTCGAGCGAAACTATCGTAAATAAACGGTGAAGGTTACAAACTAATGTCAAAAAGTATACAGAAAATTGCGACAGAATATGAATTGCGATAACTGAGACGAATGTGAAAGGCACGTGCACTAGTAAACAAAGAACTAGCGCGATTAACATATTTAGCGATTAATGCGGCAGTAACACGCCGACTTCTTGTCAATACAAGCGAACGCTCTATCGGTTAAATATGTGAATCATCGAGATACACCTCTCTTTGAATTTGGTCCTGTTGTACAAATGCCTCGGTAAGAGCCAAAATTCACTTATATCTTTTGCTCGTTTTGTAAGTTTTGTTAATCCTCCTTCGTTGTTCTTTCCTTTGCCCTTATAACCTTGCCCTATTGATGTTTGATAAACTTTCTGAGGACCAGCGCCAGGAGCTGAATATAGTTCGAGAGGAAAATAATCTCTTTGTAACAGGCCATAGTGATTGGCTAGGAAGAACAATTGCCTTCTATCAAGTATTTTTCCAGCAGGGGAGGGTGGCCTTGGGCAAATGATGTATCGGTCCCTAGAAAGGTCACTCCAGGACCCCCGGGATGGAATTTTTTTGTACAGTGCCCAGGCTTCATTTTCTTGGCCGCGCGTTGATCTGGCCCGGCTGCTTCGGCGAGCGTATTCTCGGTGTGTTTGGATTATATTCTTCGAGTTTGTCCAAGTCTGTGGGATTCGTTTCTCTATCTGGGAAAGCTTCATTGGTTTCTATATCTGCTGCTATCCTATTTCTACGATCCTGGCATGTTTATTTTCCGTTGGAGTTCGAATTTCGTGGAAAAAGTTGTGTTGAATGAGAGCATGTCGGCGAAAATGGCACCTCGTGTTTCCTACCTTGTATATTATTATTGTAGATAGAGTGAATTTAAACAAATTACTGCAAATTATCACGAAACTTCGTTGGAGCAATAAGGACAACAACAATTAACTGCAGAGTAAGTTTCATTGATCTTTATTTAGTATTTCCTAGAAATTTTAGGATGATATTTTTACCCCATGCAAACACTGTAATTTTAGTGGAACCGTACTGTGGTACTATCACAGAGCCTGGGTTACCTGTGGCAGCTACCACAACAGTCATTACTTACAAGTGCGCGAAGCAGGAGACGGAGACGAGCCCGACTATACTTCCTGCTCCGATTAAGTTAAATAACGCCAAGCTACACCGCTAGTTGACAGTAAATAGAGTCTCTCCCAAGTCTTCTGTTATTAACAAATACACCGGAGGAACACCAAGATTTACGATTAAACTTCTCTTGCTGGGAGTAACGCCTTCTTTCAGAAGGAATAGCTTTTTTAAAAAACCTTAAAAGGTTCTAACAAGCTAAAATAGTATACATTTATTGAACTCAAGGCCTTTTAATGTCTCGAAATATTTCATACGACAAACTGAGGAGATTCCTTTAGTCCACAAATCTACTGAAAGGTGGTACTGTTAGGTAACGTTTTTTCCTTGATAGACCAGCTGGGTTTCGATATTTTGCCAGAATTCGAAAGATAATGATACATTGCATTTTATTATTAGCTACCTGTTCCTTTAGGTCTTGAACGGTCTGCCACAATGTCTCGAACTCACTACAAGTAGGACAGTCTGGAAGAAAAGACACAGAATTACAATGAAAACATGTCCGACATTTGTACATGTGAAACAATTTCTCACCTGGGAAATGCAATCATTTCAACAGTTTTTGCGACAGATAAGGTAATAAATTTCATTTCGTATAGGCCAATTCCGAGTTCCAAAAACCCTCACTTTCAAAATGAGGCTAGGGACACAAACTTTCTTGTGAAAATGAGTTTTATTGGCTTGAGAATGAAAAATGATTTCCATATCAAAGGCTGAGCACCTACCCTCGTTTTGAAACAGAGGCCCGGGAGAACTCGGGACACTCACAAAGAAAAGCATAGTTTTTGAACACGATACTGCCAAATAACTTAGAACAGTAAATTGAAAACGAAAGGCCCCCTTAAGAGGGGTTGTTCACATCCCGTACCCCTCATCCCTTCAACTAAGACTTTGAAATCCGGTATCCCGTTAATTTCAATGCTTTCTGCTTTCGGAGACTCACGAGAACGTCATTTAAATTTCGGGAAACAGGAGCATTCAGTTTCCTTGTAAGAGACTATCTAGGTGGCTCAATCTTGTCAATATTTTACGCATAAAGAGTAAAAAAAATCTCATTCGCGAGTCTTTTTCTCTAGCTCTGTCCTACTTCTTATCAACCACTGAAACTCGTGTTCAATCAGAAGAGGTTTATTTGACATTAATTCGATATCCCACAATCGCGTCTCAATACAAACTCCATTACCAACCTCGTTCCCAGGGTTCTCTGCTACCCGTCCCTACGGAGCGAGAGACAGGACGGGTAGAAGAGAACCCTGGGAACGAGGTTACCCCATTTCCAATTTTTTTCCCCAAACATCCCGTATCCCTATTGTTTTTCACTTCAGTCTCGTATCGAAGTACACCCTGATAAGCCCTTTCTGTTTAGATACATCATTGCTTACTTGCCAGTATCTAAACATCCCCTACCACATAAATTTCCCCCAAATATCCCGTATCCCTTTAATTTTTCACGTAAGTATCCCAGTAATCCCTTATAGACCTTCTCTATAGACACATCACAACTACTAGACCCCGAAAGACTTTCGATCAGATTGCAGTTTGTATGTTGGATGGCAGGTGCACTGGTACGACCCCGGCGTATTTGAGCAGTTATCCCGTATTCCTATAATGTTCTTCACCTTAATATCCTATGACCGAGTGACCTCTGAGAGGCCCTCTATAGTCGCATAATTACTACTCACGACCGCTAGACTTCCATCTGATTTAAGTTTGTATGTTGGGTGGCAGGTGCACTGGTAAGATCCAGGCCCATTGGTGCAGTTATAGGTATGCCCATATTTTCACCAATATCCCAGTTTTTCCTAATAACTCTCCATAGACACAGGATGTCTACTTACGACCGCAAGACTTTCCGTCAGATTGTATTTTAAAAGTTGGATGGCAAGTGCATTGGTAAGACCCGGGCGTGTTGGTGCAGTTATGTTGGCAACCTCCGTTGTCCTTCAATTAAAAGGAAATAAAAAGGTCAAACTAAAACCCATTTGGTACTACAGTAGTAACTCCTTATATTGTTCTATACAGTACTTTAGGATCCGTGTACCGAAGAGAATGCTTTCCGAGGGTAAAGTCAAACGAAGGATGATATAGGCGGCCTTTGCAATTGTTGGTGGTGGGGGTATGGGTGCTGTGCTATTAAGTTTAAGAAGGTGTAAATTTCCATTGGTGGTAGCCTAAACTGTACATTTTAATGAAAATTAAAATTTAATCTCTTCGCCAATTGATGAGCTTGGGAACTGGTGCCTTAAAAGTGGGGAAGGGAAGGGCCCGAGGTAATTCAGGCACCGCAGGGAGGTCTCCATGGCAACCTGGCAAGCGGGAACCACCCCAGTAGCAGCCGCTAACAGGCACCGTCACACTGAAACTAGTCCAGTGGAAATACTCACCTAACTCGATACTTACCTCTGAAATCAAGTAGCCCTCTGGGAAGGGAGGGTGGGGCTAATGAACCCGCAAAGATTCGCTCACAAAATCATTGATCGCAACGATCGCTAGAAAGCAAGGCTGTACGAAGTAAGCCCCTGCGAACTCCAAAGGGGCGCCCCACGGATCGTGTGCAAACTGGGCGAGACTGCTGGCAGCATTAGCTCGAGATTAACCTTGCCTAAATTACATTTAGCCACATGTAAAATATTTTAAGCATTATTATATAATGTTATCAAACGCGTGTTCCTCAAGTTTTGGTGGCCAGAGCCTGGAATTTGCCATATTTATTATTTATCTGAAACAGAGATGTTTAAAAAACAAAGTGGGGTGTGGTTTGGTTCCTACCGTGAGACACTCGTTGATGTCCACACAGCGTGTAGGATCTGTACTATGAATGACGAATCCCGAGTTACAGGAGCACCTGAGGGAAAATGAATCGGACAAACAATGCTGGAAAACCAGTTATACATTTTTCAATGTAAACACTAGTCAAGAGTGTTTTCTGTCTGTTTAATGCCTTCTAGAGAATGTTTTTTGTTTCGCTTTGCCTTGTTTTGTTTTTTCATTTTCTGAGATCTAAAAACAAGCACCTTCGCATTCAAAACATTAGAGACATTTAGATTCGAGGACGAGAACGACTAAGACTAAGAGATTTGATTTATGATTTAAAGTTTTTTTCTCGTATTGTCCAAAAATAGACACCCTGGAAAGCTTTAATGTGCTTTTTTAAACAGAAAAGTTGGCACCGTTATCTTTATAGTAGGAGGTTAACCCCTCTCCCGATCGCAAATTGATAAACCTTCTAACATTTGATAACTTGTTTCCGCCACTACGACATTCTCGCAAAAATTCGGAAATGGCTAGATTCCACTGCTCAAAAGGAGGTTTGTGAGCCCGCGAGACTGAGCACCCCCACCCAAACCTTGTTTCCTCTAAAACCGCTGGGCACCCGCCACCTCCTTTTGAGCTATGGAATGAAGTCTCTGCCTAAAAATTGGTAATAGAATGACGACAGCTACCACGTTTTCCCGCCAAAATGACGCTGACTCACGCGCGTGCACTACTTAGTATTGAGGAAATGTCGTACTCGAAGTCGTCCTCGTCTTAGAATCTAAAGGTTCCTAATAACAAAAGCTGCAAAAATTGCCTCAAAAGGCAATTTGCACCACATGACCAAGATTTCTCTTTAGTTGTCATTTACTGTTATATTTATACAAAAATAAGTGTCTCCATGCCTGTTTCATCCAATGGAATTATTTTCGGACATTTTTATCTCCTTATTTCCTCATTTGAGAATTTGTCAAATTGAATCTCACGTTTTCCGTTTGCCGTAAAAGTGACTTCCACAATAGATAATAAGATGAAATGGTCCGAAAAGACCTTAGTAGATGTAAACTAAAGCGGAGGGAACTTTGAGGAAAGCATCACCGGACTTAAAACGATATCATTCGATAAATAATTTCAGTTACCTACACAATAGAAAAAGGAGCAATTATAGAAAAGAGATGTAGAGAAAAAACGACACAAACTAAATGTTTATATAATCTCACTCACGCAAAGCTTCCAGGGTTGTTTTTGCAGACTTGTTCGCAGCCTCCATTCGCAGTCTCACATTCATTTATATCTGGCATAAACGAAGAGAATTGCCAAAAAATAAAAATCGTTACCGTTCACTGATACATAGATAAAGCTAAGTGCCTTGGGATAGGACATACCGTATTTATTCGAGGGCGCTTATTCGAGGCTGGGCGCTTATTAGATTTTCACAATTTCAGCTAGTGTAGTCATGATGTTTATTTTGCAACAAAACAATAAATGATAGTAACAAAACGCGAAGATTTAACAAAGCAAGGTTTCTGTAAAATACTCTGAAGAAAACTCCGTCTTCGGGGAAGTCTCTTATTAGTACTCATTAAATTTTCTTATTCGAGGCTGGGCGCCTATTGACTTTTTCTGCCTTTAGTATGGGCGCTTATTCGAGTGGGCGCTTATTCGAGGTTGGGCGCTTATTCGAATAAATACGGTAATTGAACACCAGAAATGTTATTAAACACTAACGAACGACAGTAGCAGCAAAGATTGGCACGGTAGATTAGCAAGAGCGTGGCCTTCTCTCCGGGAGGTTCCGAGTTCGATTCTTGGGTGTGACCTCAAATCTTTGTTTCTACTTCTTTTCCTTCCGCGTAGTAAAAGTAGCCTTAAATACTTGTAAAACAATGCACCGATAGAAAGAGGAAAGGTAAAATTTACGCAAAATCGACCTTAGGTTTGTCAGTCAAATGATAACTGTAACTAGGTATCGACATAAGATAGAGCGATTTTCGTATGACCTTGAAAAATGGTTTCGGGAAGTGTTCGTTATTTGTTTTGCCAGCTAATGGATGAAAAGATCAAAACATGGACACTTCGTTTTCCCGCCCACGAAAATCCTTATGTGAAGAAGGCATTGTTCGATTGGCCAATCGTGTTGCAGTATGACGTCAAAGCGAAGTATCGACTGATTTCTCGCGTCTGTACCAGTTCGATAAACCAATCAAATCGCTCTATTTCCGTTCGTTTGTTGTTTCTGTTTTGTTCGTGCGTTTTCATTTCAAGGTCATACGAAAATCGCTCTAAGGACCTTTGTCCTCACTCGAAAGTGCAGGATCTGTATTTTGTGTGCTGAGACATACCTTGACAGGTGCAGTTGCTGACGGCCGTGTAACCTGGGTAACAGGTACAGTTGTAGCTCCCTTCTGTGTTTACACAATCTTGGTTACAACATGCAGTGTCTAGCAGACATTCGTCGATATCTGATATATGAAAGGACGATTATTCATTTGTCGATTGAAAAAGGCGGATTTACAGCTCACGTAAATGCAAACCGGCCAACGAGATCAAAAGGGAACACAATAGTAATGGTAATGGTAGTAAGAATTAAAAACGTGGCGGATACTCGGAGATCTGTCAGTAGGTTTTGACACCCAAGCGTTTGCCACAGCAAAACAGACTCTCAAGTCAACGTAAGTTCTTAAATTATTTACCTCTACAAGTCGAGCCATCTCTTAACAGTTTGAAGCCATGACGGCAGGCACAAGAATAACTGAAGAGAAAAAAAAAAGCATGATAGTCAAAAAGGGCCAGGGAATGAGCTGATGGGGCAACTGTTGCGCATGCACGTCGGTACCAGCCAAAACGTTCGAGCTCAAAAATGGAAGGCTAAGTCAAGACTGCATGACTTTGAGCTCTTATAATAGACGTTTATGACTAACTGCCTTGAACGTAAGAATGAGGCATGTGACAGTCGTAACATATCATCAACCACGGAGATTCTCATTTTCATCAGTTAAAATGCTTACGGACACCTCTCTTTTACAGACCGTTCTCTTAGTCCCAAAGACACCAAAATTCATAGATTTCCTACTTCTATAATGCAAACACCTCTGTTATGCAGACACCTAGTCCTGTCTCTTAGGTGTCCGTATTATTTAGGTGGGTAGAACGCTTGTTGAACAGGCGTTCTACCCACCTCTACAATACGTTTTGTTTCGAACCCGCGAGAGGTCTCAGGTTCGGACCAACACTCAGGGTCTCCGACTGCTCTTGCCAGCAGACGGCAAGACCTTCGTCCGACTCGGATCACCAATCAGAAATGGCTTTCCGCTTTCCACAAGGAGACGTAGAGAATAGCGTCCTCAGTTCTTACGTTCGTGTCAAATACATCGGCACTCAAATAAAGAGAGGTTTTTTTTCATCTAAACTTTTTAAAAAACCTCTCTCCTTTTAGCACTTTAAAATGACATGCAACGAAAATACATCGAAAGTTGACACAAACGCACTCGATTACCTTCCATTTTCGTTAACGCATCTGTGATCGCAGCCTCCGTTGTTGTCCAAACACTCGTTGACGTCTAATGGAAAGTTAAAAAACGTCTATTTTAGTTAAGTCTCGCCCAGCTTTGTACTCAGTAAAGTGATGCATGCAGACAACATGTCTTAACGTCCGCCACACGGAAGAGAAAAGAGATTTTAAGACAAATGATGAGAGTTATTTGCAAGGATCATGATAGAGTGCCCTAAATCAAGTGGCCTAGTTCCTGTATCTGACGCATTGACAATCGCGTTCCAAATGGACGGTTACAGGTGTTCCATACAACATGGGTTAAGGTAAATTCGTTAAAAGCGAGCCTGATATGTGGTTGAACAAGTCTTTCTGACTTATTAAGCATGATCGAAGGGTAACAAAACGCAACTTTCGTCACTTTAAGTTATTTGCAAGTTAAACTCCTATCGGCTGGTTGATAAATTCAAATACTCTACCTTCACAATGATGGCCATCCAAAGCCAGTTGATAACCAGCAGGACACGAACACTGATAACTTCCGATGGAATTAACGCAGCCTCTTTCGCAAATGTTTAGTTTACATTCATCGATATCTAGAGAAACAGAAACCAATAAAATTAAGATTATTTTGCAATGGTAATAAATGTTTGTTAGATAATGGTAGGTAGCAACGTTAGTGCTATCCTATCTAATATTAATAAGAAGATAAATGGAAACGTAGAACAACTGCCTCGGATCCACTGCCTCTCGCTCATCGCGTCTCGTCGCTGAGATCGTTTTGCGAGGGAAAAACGTCCTTAGGCGGCGGCCAGGAGCAGTGAGAGGCAACTGAATTTGCAGTTTTTAAACGGGTGTCCACGAAGGGCTTAACTTATTTTAGCCGAAACATTTGTGTAACTATATATCCTCTGATATTACCTACTTAGTACTCTAGCTTCACTCCTCATCGTGTTTAAATTAAGATTTTGATTGTTTGATTTCTTTAGCAGGTCGCATCGATCCCTCAGTTAAAAACTAAAGATTAAACAAGACTCTATGCAGGAAAAAAAATAAAGTTCCTCCACATACCAGAGCATGTCTTGTTGTCCGCTTGAAGAGCAAAGCCTTTTCTACATTCACAACGAAAGCTAAATGAGAAAAAAAACAAAGAATTCTTATTACGCAAAGAAAGAATATGATTCTACACGGTTAGAGTTCCCTATTTCCCAGACTCATGCTAGATAAAGAACTAGTCCATCGCTGATACCGTCACAGGGCAGGGCACTTTGCTGAGCTGGGTCTTGAAAGATTGGAGTTGAGCTGATGATGTGATCATCAAAGTCAAACTGTGCAATGTTGATTCTAGTAAGGCCTCTTATACAGCTCAAAAGCTTTAAGGTACAAGTTAACTGAAGTACATGAACTGTTTTGTTTACTAACCCTCCAGGAGTGTTGTTGCAAATCTGACCGCATTGATGCACTTCGGGCTTCGCACATTCATCAATGTCTGCAATCATATTTTAGTGGCACAAACTTATCAGTTCGGTAAATTCCGCAGTCCTTAGTTCTACATGACTATTCAAACGATAACACTGCCCTTATGAAAGAGTTTTCAAGGTCCTTTGAAGTATAACTTTACACCCAAATAGAAACTGCGGTGATTTTACTGCTATTATTGGTATTATTGCTGGAGTTTTAACGCATACAGCTACTTAGAGAAAGGTTGTCGGAAAAAATGTGCACGCGACAACCCCGAAAGGTAATATGGGATATGATCAATACACTGTTCCTAACGACTGTAGCTGTCAAACCTACTTTTGCTGATTTCCACTAGCACTTGCAAACATATGTCCGTGGCCTCTTGTGCCATTCTTTCAAATTTCTTTGAAGAACAGGGCAGACAAAACCACCCAAAATACCTTTCGGGGTTGTCGCGTGCACTTTTTTCGACAACCTTTCTTGAAACAGCTGTATACGCTCTGTCCCTTACCGATGCAGTCCTTCCATTGTGACAGGTAGCCATCAGGACACTGGCATGTGTAATTTCCAGGGGTGTTTTTACATTTGGCAAGATGGTCACATTCGTGAATTTCGTCAAAGCATTCATCTGTAGTAAGCAATGGAACAATGTTGGAGCAATAACTAATTGAATCATAGAAAAAAACATCATCTCGAATTCTGTTGTGCAAAACATCGAAATAGCAGCAACATTGAACTGTATCTACAACTAAAGAGCTAAAATTCATTTGTCCCTTGAGTCATTCAAGTCATCTACTCCTCATAGTTTATTCCATGACTCAAGAAAATAGTCTGTGGCGGGTCTAAGTGTTCGAAAGAACGACAGTTCAGGGAAAGCTAGCAGCACGCTCCCCCAGAAGTTTAAAAACATGGCTGTTTCAACTATTCGGTGGGGCTAATGAATAGTCACTTTATTGCTAAACGTCAATCTGAGCGAACGTCGCTCCATTTTGCGGTATTTTTCAGTAGGTATTTCTCGTAACTGCAGGTTTAGCAGATTTAGCTTAGGTGGTTCGACAGTAGCTCCACACTCGCCAACCAATTGCTAATCAGTCTAATGGCTTTTATTTGAAAAGGTTGAGAATAATAAAATGCAATGCAGCAATTGACAAATGCAGAATGTTGACTAGCGGAGTGGCAGGTTAACGCGACGAACAATGTAGAGAAATGCTCTGAAAACTACATGATAATCCTTAGACGTTGAGAAAAGTTTAAGCTCAGGCATACTAGGGCGCCAATGTACTGTTCTAATCAATAACTTAACCTATTACCAGAACTCACCAATGTCAATACAGATGACGTCAGTACCATTGGGCCCTGAGTTGACATATCCATCAAAACAAGCACAGGAGTGGTTACCAGGCTTATTGATACACTTCTGAGAGCAGTCGCCATTGTTCACTTGACATTCATTAATGTCATGACAAGTGAGGCCATCATCGTTCAAGGAGAATCCCGCAGGACATGAGCAGTGGAATGATCCATCTGTGTTTGCACAGGAGTACTCACAGTCGCCCCTCCCGTTGTTCTTAGCACATTCATTTATGTCTACGCAGTTCCGCGATCTGGTAAGAAATCAAATCAAGATATCGTTCTATCAGTTATTTCGATCCTTTACTTTTAATCAGCTGTTTTAATTTGCACTTTGATTCAATTCTTTGCTATCATATAAGCAACATGGAAATAAATAATACAGTGGTTTGCTCAACTAGTAACTTTTAATTAACGGTTATTAGAAGAAATATACAGTGCATGCATGCATCAACCCTCGCCGAGGTTTTTTTCAACAAAAGTGCGTTTTTGTGCATGTGGAGGTTGGAGGAATGTGCCAAAATTTCGACGTAAGAGAGCCCTGCAATGCGGAAAATACAGATGACGAACACCTCCTCATCGAACCAGAAACGGACAATTTAAATGAAATTATTTGTAAAATGCATCAAACTCAGAAGTGTGTGCAAACATGTTTTAAAAGCTGCCTAACTTAAAGGAAAAGGTATTCTAAATCTTCATTTTTCAGGATTTCTTGGTCAATTTTGTTTCTTTTTCTCTTGCTTTTTTTCATGTATTTTTCTATTGTATTTTGAACCATTTGTGAAATGTAACTATTGAAATTAGTGCATTTTAAATTGTGCCTTAATTATTAACATGGTTAATATGTCCTTACATTGATCGGGCTTTGGCGGTATCTGAGGCGACTGGTTGCCAAAAATGATTTGTTCGGTAAAGATAACTGTTTTTTTCCCTGTGTCTGTAGGTTTTCATCTAAAGCGTATTTCTAATGAAATGCATTATATTAATTTACTTCAATTTAAAATCTAAAAAAGAATCAAAACATTGCCATAATTGTCTTATTAGGTCAGATTACTTTGAGACGGTGCTCTACAATTTATGATTGTTAGAAATGCTACAGGTATTTTAACTCGTTTTTATGCATGTGAATATCATATTCTGAATTTAAAGAGAGAAAGGAGAGATTGGAAAAGTAAATTTCGGTATAACCTTCAAGTGGAAGTCCTATAGATTTGGAAACAAAAAAAAAAAACAAGAAAAAAGAAAAAAAATTCTAGAAAACATCGAATCTTTGGAAATTTGGTGCCAAAACAACCAAAAATATTATACAGCTAATAATTAGTGATTAGAGACATTTTTTTTCCTATTCACAGCTTAGACCACAGTTTTATTATATCCATTAATTCAACTAATCCATACATTAAACTCATCGTATATCTCAATCATTTTTCGGCGATGTCGTTTTATCTTTTGACATTTCTCAGTGACATATGCCTTCACGTTTTGGGCAACCACCATTTGGCAAAGATCAAGTTTTAAACCATTGTACACGGATGTTGCCACTTTAAGGAAGAATATGGTTAGCTAAGATTAAAGGGTTTTCTCATCAGCCTCAGAAGACCGTGAAAGTTGAAAAATTATCAGTTATTGCGATTATAGCTGCAGCTGTCGCTGGTCCTATTTGCTGAAAAAGACAGTATTTTACAGGATGAAAGCAGACCTCTAGACCTCTAGAGGCTAAACATCCTCTGAGGATTGTATGAACGATACATGTACAAGTAGCTATAGACGATTTATTACAATCACAAAACCAAAAAAAAAAACTTTCATTACCTCAATTTTCCCTAATTCTTTTTTATTAATTGGCTGACAGGATCAATTAGCTTTGGAGGACATACGGTGAAGCAAAGTGAAACCTTTCATCTTTTCAACTTCCGAACACTTTGCCCCTTTTATTATCCCTCGACAGGATTGCTTTCTCTTATTTGTAAACCAAGAAAATACATTGAAATGTTTAATTATACGGCCTTGAAAAGTACACACACGAAGCCTTTTTCAATAACGTGAGTTGTAATAAACGAGTATTATTACTATGCAAATGTTCTGAGTAAAGAGCAAGTCAGGTTTTCCCGTTTCCCTTTTATGAGAACAGTTGCGCAGTTAATCGCTGAGGACCCACTACACATGTACAAGTAGTATCAAGTGTGTGCATTAACTTTAAGGTGTGAAATCCGCTGTTATCAGCAATGGAACAAAGCGATGAATTCGAAGATACAAGGAGCTTAACTGAAGTTATCATTCACACAGCGAATATCATTACGACAACACTAGTTTCGCTTGCAGGAAACTCTCTCATATTCGTCGCTTTGTACAGAAACAGAAGATTACGCACCGTCACTAACTTCTACGTGCTATCTTTGGCGATAGCGGATGTGATGGCAGCATTTTTATGCTTTCCTTTTCATATAGTTGCATCTGCTTTGCGCAGATGGCCATTCGGTTTTAACCTGTGTCAATATATAGGTTTTACTATACACTGCTGGGCCCAGGTGTCAATCTGCATCTTAACACTTGCCTCAATTAATCGATATTACTGCGTAACTAAGCCACAAAAATACCCAGTTTATTTCTCCAAAAAGAACACCATTCTGTCCATTCTTATAGTATGGATTGTCTCGTTTATCGAAACCTTGATTTTCGTTTTCTCGCTGCCAGTCATATACCGTTGGTCCTTTGAAAGTCTGTATTGCCGAGGAACGAATGATGATGAACGAATGGAGAAAATCTCGTACATTTTCTTTGGATCCTTCTTTATCCTTCTCATGTCGTTGGTAATATTCTGCTATGTGAGTGTTTATCGCGTTGTAAGAAGGCACAACGCTGCAATTATTCCATCTCTTCATCAATCGTGGACGGGCCAGAGAATGATAACTGCTCAGGAGATAAAGACGTCTCGAATACTATTTGCTGCTGTCCTTGGATTTTGCATCTGTTGGATTCCATTAATTGCTGAACTCTTTTTAGTCTTTGGCTGTGATATTTACATCTCATCCACCATACAGTGCATTTTTATGTTATTCACATCTTTTTCTTCTTGGATTAATCCTATAATTTATGGTGTTATGAACCGGGCCATGCGGAAGGAGTTTTACGGAATATTAAATTGCCGAAAAGAGGATTGATTCGAGACTAAAATGGTTTTGAGTTTGCCCATCAACTCCTGGCCGTGTTCGGACGGGATTAACTTTCACCCAGAGTTAAGACAAACCAAAGTTTCCCACCTTGGAATATGTAACTGAAGCAAAAGATTGGTATCTAATACAAGCTTGGAGTATAAAATAGTTTTTAATGTTCTTAATTGTTATATTGGCGCAAATCGCTTGGTTTAATGCCTTTATATTATAAAAAATTTGTAACTTCAGATATGGACTTTATCGATGTTATTTGTTATTTATTATTTTTAAAATTCTAGTTCTTACTCAGAGTCAGTTGCTTGATATCCCGGACTGCACTCACACATGTAGCCTCCTTCCAAATTGATGCAGACCTGTGAACAGTTGGCGTTATGCAAGGCGCATTCGTCGATGTCTGAGCAGCGAGTTTCGTTGTCCACGGCCACGAAACCCTTATTACACCCACAGCGGTAGCTAATATTGTAAAGGAAAAGGATACATGATTTTAGAAGAGCTGAAAAAGGTTCTGTTTACTCTCACTAAGACACTATGTGGCAATACAATCGTTAAAGAACCAATGAGCATCAAGCAAATAACGCCAATAATTAACTTTCCGAATCATCATCATCATCATTATCATTCTTCTACCGCCTGAGTGGACGGCGACATCCATGGAGATTTCTTCCCAATCACCACGATTCGCTATCGCTGAACTCAGGTGCCTGGTATCAAGTCCTAAATCCCTAGCAATCCCTTCGGGGTATGTAAGGTTACGCGAATGCACTCGGCCCACTGGGCGCCAGAGGATGAGAGATGAGATTATCTCTTTCTCTTTATCTGCCCGATAGCAATGACCAGCAAACTGGAGACGCTTTTGCTTGAATCTTAAAGATAGAGGATAATAATTGATCTATCAGTAAAGGGTTTCGTCCGTGTCCTACCTTCCTTCGAGGTTAAAACACTTATGACAGTCAGGTCTTCCCTCTAAACATTCATCAATGTCCACGCATTTGTGTGGCAGTTTGTCGTCTTTGTGGTATCCTTGGTAACAGTCACAGTAGAAATCACCTGGTGTGTTGACACATTGCTGCTCACATTTCACGCCTCCCATCAGGCATTCATCAATGTCTGGAGAATAAAACCAATCGTTGACTTCGGTAACTATGTGCCCCGTCCACACCTTATTCAGTCCACTGTAAAACGTTTCTTTCCTCACCGATAAGGAATTCGCGAATGATTTTTGAGGAAGCTCCTCAGAGTGGATAAATTTGAAAACGCTTCCCCAGGTGTTTTAGTGTTGACGACGAAAGTGGGCCTCGTTAGAAGCGTTAAAGCTCAGGTTATTTGCGCATTCGTTTCAATGTGGACAACAAGTAGAAGGGCGGGAAAACCCCAGGGGACGAGGTTGTGTGGACAAAGCGCATGCCTCCCAATGCACGATCTTCACATAGACCAAAATGCACCCCGCTAACCCCCCCAATTTTGGATAACTATTGCTTCCAATTTCTCCTGGACCGGGGGTAAAGAGTGCATTACGGTCTAAGTTGGAATGGTGAATACGAACAAGGAAAATAGTTCAAACACTAGTACAGTGTACATCGGTGGAAAACAACATTGTGTTCTAATAGGGCGCGCGAACACTGGCCTGGAATTCGCTGAGGTTATGGGGTGGATGACTCAATCGAGTCATTCTTTCATCCTCATCTAAATATACACCACAAAACTCTCTCAGCTTTCATAATTAAAGATAGCGACATCACACACGGGAAATACTTTACTCAATCTTTAAAATAACCGATATATTTTGTTTGGAGTGCCCAACAGTCAGAACATTGGAGATGATTTTTTTCGTTCTCAATTTGATTCTGGCAGCTAAATTGTTGATCTATAACTGTAAATTGAATAGTTCACATCCCTCTATTCAAGTCTCTTTTTTAAAGGTTCTTTATCAAGTAGAGAAAAAACCATAGCGAGGAGGCGGAACAAACTAACTTCACATTTAAAGAAATGGAGGAAAGCTTTGATATGTGTAAGCTCTAACAGGGGGTGTCCCGCACATGCGTCTTTCTTCACTTTACGTTTATGTTTGAAACAATTTAAGAACATTTGCATGTAACACTGTCTCTCTCTCTCTCTATTTTTTTCTTTTCTTATTTACTTTTATTTTTTGGTGGCATTGTGGAGGTTTCTATGATAATGTGTATTTTTAATAGCTGTAAACTAAGTAGTGCATGATGAAATTTGTTTAGATGTTTTGTGTTTTGCAGCTCTGTGGAGGTTTAAGGTATTTTGTAGTTTCTTGTATTCGTTATTTAAGTGTAAAAAAATATCTAAAAAATTGGTAAATTACACAAAAAAATGCTTAGCGCTCACTCTGCAGAAAGTTGATTCGTGATGTGTTACTGAACAGTTTCACTGACGAGAAAACAGGAAGTTTGAGGAATGGCAAATCTGGTTCATACAATTATATATCGATCATAATACCCAATACTGGATGTAAAGACAGTCATACCTCTGCATGTTTTGCCATTAGCGCTCAGCTGGAATCCCGCTCTACATTTACAGTAAAAGCTTCCTGGTGTATTCACACACTGTTGTTGACAATGGTGAAAGCTCCTTGGAAGCTTACATTCGTCTACATCTGAAATATGAGCGATACAGGTAAATATATCCTGAGGACGTAAAATGACGAGAAACTGCTTTAGGGCAAGAGGTGGGGTGGGGGAATGAGGGGGGCAGGGATGGGAGGTTTGGAAGGAGACATATTCGGTTGGTCGTTAGGCCATTGAGCTGTCGATTGTCTTTTATTTCAATCTATAATGTGATTATGTATAAGAGGAATGTGCAGGTTGTTCTTTTCTGTTATGTAATGCGAAAAAAAGAGTTAATTATTAAAACGAGGACGCTATATCTTTTCAATAACTATAACGGGCCAGTTATCTTGCAGTTTCCTCGAGAATTGAGGGGAAGAAATTGTGCAACGTAACGTTGTTATAACTACTTGTTTTTTCGGACGGTAAACCATGATTAATAATCCAATTTATAAGGCGGACGTCTCTCAGAGATGGTCAACCCTACTGATCGCAACTAGAACATTGTTAGCCTCAGCAAGAGTTGTGCGGCCATGTTCAGCATATTTCTGGTGTCTTACCATCACACGTGATTCTGTCCGCACCAATCCGGTAGCCTTTGTGGCACTCACAGTAATAGCTACCATCAGTATCACGACACATCTGCTCACATTTATTGTTCCCAGTTGCGCATTCATTCTCATCTAGGGAGAAAAAAAACGAATATCATTAACCTCATTTCTTACGATGTAGTACTACATGTAGGATTCGTGATAAAAATTAACGTCTAGTGAAAATATTTCTAGGGCAACAAAACAAAATGCAAGTTAGTTGCATAGTATTTATTCGTAAAAAAAACTTGAATGGAATTTTTAATGGCATTCTAGCTCCAGAAGGTGGCACTATAGAGTTCGGCTAACAAAACTGCCTTTTGATAAATTTTTGAGCTAATTTTATCAGTTATTTTAAGTGTGCAAGATATTCCGTTATGTCACCTTAGTTAGGGTGCACTGCTCTTTCTTACCATAGGTGAGGTTCTTCTTTTGCTTTAAAGGACAATTTGGCTATAAATACCGTCAAGTTGTCACTCAGCACCGGGAAACACCCCAAACTAATGCGAGACTTACTAATGCAGGTTTTGTTATCTGTGTCTACAATGTAGCCAGGTCTACATGTGCACTCGAATCCGCCAACAGTGTTCACACACGTATCTGAACAGCCACCATTGTTGAGCAAGCATTCATCAATATCTAAATCCAAAAAAAAAGGTTTCATTTAAATGCATTTAGAAAGGACACCCTAGACGGCAAGATTGCGAAAAGGAAGGACACGAATTGTCGTACCTCTACAAGTCACGCCATCAGTATCCAAAGAGTGCCCCGGATTACATGAACAAATTCTTCCAAAGTTTGTCTTGGTACAAAAATCACTGCATCCTCCGTTATTCACAAGACATGGATCAACGACTCCTGTAGATAAAGACACAAAGTATAAACAAGGAAAACTTCATAACTTCGAATCCAACAAGAGTAGAAACTCTAATCATATTTGGAGATGTCAGCGCAAGGGTAGAAGGTTCTCGTCAGTTATTTAAGGAGGGAGGTAAAGGGTCGGAGAGTGGGGAAGAGGGGGAGGGGGAGGGGGGGGTCTCTAGATCACCTTTCACGAGAAATGTGATGAACTTTTCATGATACACGAACAATAATATCTTTATAGACCAGGGAGTTGTTCGAGGCGCATAAAGTAATGATGAGTCATGAATTTCCCCTAAAGAGACGGTGCAGTGAGACAGACTGTTAGAGATTTGTTTCGCCCCTTGTGTAGGTGGGATATGCGGATCGTCCATGTGGGTGTACTCTTGAATAGAACTGTTGCTGGCGGTGACGGAGCGTCTCGACATCCTGTGCCGTAGTCTTCTTCAGAGTCAAAGGGATTTGATTAGCCGAGATGGAAACATTGTGAGGCGGAGCCTACGGTTTTTGGTGCTTTTCTAAGAAGTCTAGAAAGGCTAATCACTGTTGTTATTTGTATTTTTTTTTTATTTTTTATTGATAAATAAGTACACAAAGCATAAGTTAACGATAATAAGATGCCAAAGCCAGAGGCTTATATGGCGTAGGTCAGAGAGTTACAATGTGCTGCTAAGTTACAATGAGAATAAAAATTAATAAGTACAAAATTTACAGAGAAAGGGCAAACTATTACAACATATAAAGAATTATTACTGTATATAAATATGTACTGTATATATTAAAAAGGTGTCAGATAAAAGAGGGCATTGTTTTACCTAGTGATTCATAAGGATTCTGAGTGTTGGTCGGTCATGCGCAGTGAATCGAATCCGGGAAAACCGCTCCACAAACAGGTACTTAACCAATCAAGCTACCTTAATCAGGTGGTAGCCTGCAAACGGAGACGTATTTCCGGACGTGGCTCCTTTCCAAAAGAAGCGACGACCGGAAATACGTAGACCTGAGTTCGCAAGCTATGAAATGGCGTCTAAGGCTAATAACCAGCGACTGTTGGACGAGCTTGAGCAAAATATCGTGATTTGTCGGTGGCGAGCAGATCAATTACGACTGAGGCAAATAATTGATCCTCGAGATACTGACAAATCACGATATTATGCGATAACCGAGTTCAATAATTGTTTTATCATTCGATCACCGAGTTTGTTTTTTAATTATTTGCGAAGCGATCTGCCATTTTCTCACGCAAAAGCGATCGCAGGAAGGAGAAAAGCGTGATTTCTTTTAGGCAAGAGCAGAATATTTTTTGCACCCAAACACAAGCCAAACACAATTGGACGACATTGCGCATGAGCAGACAATTACTTGAAGGCAGTTATTTGCAGGTCACGTGTTAGGCTTTCAGCCAATGAAAAGGAAGAAAAATTTGCATTCAATGATAAGATCATTCATTTACTCTCTGGAATCTCTGGAACAATTACCCACCTGCGGGTTCAGCCGTGTAAGTAGATACAAAACCAGTTTGAGCTATAGACTGATCTGAGACGAACCTCATCAACAGAAAGTTAGTTGAAGAACGCAAAGGGGCGGGTTTGGTGTTTCCACAGAATCTACCCAGGCTTGTGTTGTCTGTCCCTTGGCCGTCAAATATTTCCACATAGTCATACACACAGCCTGCCGAACCTGAGAAAAATAAATTAACATTTGCAACGAAAAAGTCCCTCTGTGATTAACAAACAAACTTTGTAAAAGGTACTGATCTGGAAAAAAAAAGAATCATGTAAAGGTTGGAGGGAATCCAAGAATGCCTTGGCCAAATCGTCGGCCGTATTTTATCATTCAACAATGAAGAAATATTATGTTGTGCAACACAATAATCGTCACCATTGTAAATATTTAGGTTTCTATGTATAGTCACGTAGAGGTTGTTTTCATTACAGGGTACGAGGAAGACTGGGGATCGGGAAAGAGAAAAAGAAAGCTAAAAGGAGCAAGACGGAGGAAGAGAAGTAAACACTTCCTCATTTCTCCCCTCCCCTCCCCTCTCACACTTCTATTCTACTCTTTTTCGCGTCCTTGTTTCCCTCGCTTCATCGATTGGCTACATGAACTTAAGATTAAGTTCGAGCTTTCCGACAACAGTTTTTTTCAATTTTCGCCAAAGAAATTTCTCTTTTTTTTTTTTGAAAATCTGCATTCTTATGGTCATTAACTCACTTTCCGCCATGTTGCTCGCGATACTGTGTAAGAACATCCTGTGGTACGAAAATAGAAAGAACGAAAAAAGGAAGGGCAGCAAGAACGAAAGAAAAGAAAAAAACGATTGCCACTCACACTTTTTGTAAAATATTTACGACGGCTGTACGACCCCTCAATCGAAATTATCATCATGGTGAGCGTTTTTGGTGAGTAACCTACCTTCAGCGCCCTCCAGATCAAAGTGTGAAAAACTAAGGGTGACTATTTTCCCCTCGGGTACCCGGATAACATACAAACAATCCAGAGACACCGGGTGATTGTCAGGGTGGTTTGGTGATGTGATCACGCCACTTGATCCTGTGAATGTACGGCCACAGCCTTAAAAGATAGAAATAAATATATAAATAAACGTTTTGTCGTAATTGCCATTTTGATTCTTTCAAAAGCCTTAATAAACCTTCGAATTTTATTGTCTACTTTTTTTACTACTCCAAAAAGCACAATATACTGCAAAAGCAGGAGCTTGTAAAGGTTGATCAAAATAGGGACCCACGCACTTTTTCTCTTTCGCTTTGAACGCCTGTTGCTATTCAGGCTATCAGTACAGTGGCTAATTCGTCCCCAGTCGTTTGTCCATCTACGCACAAATGTCATACATATAATAGCCTTCCGCGACCGTTCCGTGACCACTTGCAAATATTAAGCCCGAGAAGACTGGGGACGAGTCAGGCACAGTGGGTGTTGGTTAGGGACAGACCATAATTTTTTACGGGGGGAGGGGAGGGTTGGAAGACACACACAAAACATTGTTTGCAGCAGGAACTGCACATAAAAAATGTTTGCATGTGAAAGTTTTTCAACCCCACCCCCGCCCCCGTCAAAAAAATAGTGGTCCCTCCCTTAAAGGTTGGATGAAGACTGCCACTGTGGATGGTAATTCTGCAGCCCCTTAAAGGTTTCTCCTTTTAGCTAAAACCGCAGCCAGTTCGTTGTGCATTCTTTAATTTCTGAAGTTCTTAGCTCACAGCCGTCCGTATCAGTTGACGGTCAATGTTTCGGTTAGTTTCAAGCTATCGCTCAAATCCCACATGCTTAAAATGCCTTGTTGCAATTTTTCCTTAACTGGTCATATGTCGTTAAAAAGATAATTTAAAAAAAATAATAAAAAAAAAACATAATACCTGTGGATGCAAATTGCAGCTTAAAGCCTTTGAAGGCAACAGAGAAATCCGAGTGGAACCTCAAGATCATTTCATTACCAGTGGACGTTATAGGATCAGGTAATTGACTTCCACATAACTTAGCTACTCTGTTTCTCGGTTCTTTAGTGGCGCCATTATAGACTTCAAGAGAATCGTACTCACAGTTGTGGCTTGTTTCCACCTAGGAAGGAAGAGGTCGGACACTCAATGTTTAACGCATGTTTCGTGATATTCTTCCCCCCTTCCATAATCTTCCGAAATAGGAGCCTATGGAACCTAGCTGAAGTGAGGTCAATCGACAAGAACAGACTCACGTGAATTTATACTATCATCTAATGGAGACGAAAACCAATCTCTTGATAGCAAACATAAACTGGAACCCCGCTAAACCTTCAACTCATTATTACGGTCACTTTGGCCCGAATAAAAGTTCTCTTTATTTAGGACCACCCCGTTACGATCAACGACTACCATTTATAGTTCGTTATAATCTACAGTTTTATCTCTCTAGTTAATAGTACTATTCGAAACTAAATGACGTTTATACTGTAAGTAGCTAGTTAAAATGGGTTTTAAGTGAGCGGCTTACGTTGAAGGAACACATATTGTTGGTTTTCACATGACGTCACTAAAATTCAAACTACAAAACTATCGATCCTACTGAGATTTTACTTTCATGGTGTATTAGAGCAGCTGAAAACTAATTTTCAAACAAATTTTCGCTTCAAAGGGGTTCTTGGTTTTGTAATAGAGTAAGCTTGAATTTCTAAGCTTTTGCGTGACGCAGAATTTACATGACGGCCGAAAGAGCTGTCATTTAGGTTAAAAAAGTGACTTTTTTCGAGGAATTTTGCCATCTAAACAGTTCAAGTGTTAGAAAAAGTATTACTCTAATGTTTATGAGTTCCTCTAGGAGTAAATTCAAGCTTTTGTAGAAAACCTCGGTAACAGATGTTTCTGTTGGTTTCCGTCCGCCATGTTGGAGCTCATCCGGATGAGCTCCAGCCTGGGGTTTCCATATAAAGCTCTATAAATTTGGGTAAAACATTTCCTCGGATATCTCGTATACAAATTATTCGTTCGACCCAAACCTTGGCGAGGGTCTTTGTATATTTACCTCCTTTCATTTCCCAGATTCTGGACTTTATCTGTTGAATGGTTTTGATTTTTATTTTGATCTATTTTGAATGGCGCGACACTGAAAACCAGCAATACACTACGAAAGCCGAGGAGGGTCTTCCGACTTCCGACTTCTAACTTCCTACTTCCAACTTCCAACTTCCAACTTCACATTGAGAGGTCATGGCACACATATCGATTTACTGTGGTTTTTGTTTCTGGTCGGCAGGATTGCCCTCTGATTCAAGAACATATTCTTTAAAGCTTTTTATTACGGCCAAGTAAGGGCTCTAATTTTCTCTAAAGTGCCTTCTGCACCTGAATAACTATGTGACTGTCAGTTTAGTCCGTGAATATGCAATGCTGTATCACGCTGGGCCCAGCTCGTTAGTTTTCTTTGCAGGATGTCAAATTATCACGGATAGTGATTTACAGATCCAAAGTAATAAGAATGAAGTGCAGCTTAAAATGAAGCTGCATCAACTATGGAGAATGCATTGTGACTCTGTAGATTCCAGCTTAGTGTTTTTCTAAAGAAAATGTGAGTCTTTTGACTGGAGCGCGTATTTCCTTCCTTGATCATAGGTTTTTAATAAGCTTAACAGTGTTTGGACTGTTCAGTTTGTTATCACTGTTGCCACTTTGTGATCAGGCAAGACCATGGTTTCGGTTCCCCAAACGAACCTCATCAGTTACCTGATTGGCTTTGTGCTTAGTTGCTTTTACAAGAGCAACTTTAGTTGTTCTCTTTTGTGGCTACTGAGCCTTGACCTTGACCACTGAAGGCCAATACACACGAGGGGTTTTGCTCCAGGCTCATTTTGAACGTGTCAGTACACACGAGGCAGCGTTTTCAAGTTCGCTCAATTTGCCCCGGGAGTTCGCTCCCAAATATTTAACCGGTTAAAGATCGTGGAGCATTTTGCGGGGTGGAAATTCTGCTCCCGAGGATGAAGTATACCCATGAAATCGTTGGTACACACGGAGGAGCTTTGCTCTCAGAGCGTACCCCTGGAGCATGCTCCAGGAGCAAAATCCCTCTTGTGTATCCGCCTTAATACCCGCGTGGCGGATCGAGGGGGCAATCGAACCTGACAGAGGAGTCAAGTCGGAAGTCGGAAGTGGGAAGTCGGAAGTTGGAAATCAGAAGTCGGAAATCGGAAGTCGGAAGTCAGAAGTGGTTAGTGGGAAGTGGGAAGTAAGAAGTGGGAAGTAGGAGGTCAGAAGTCTAACCATGCAGCATTTAGTCTCAACGGTCAGAAATCAGAAATCCGGAGTTCGAACTTTGTCAAGTCTGAAGCCTGAAGTTTGAAGTATGAAGTCTTAAGTCGGAAGTCGGAAGTCAGAAGTCGGAAGACCCTCCTCGGCTTTCGTAATACACAGATTCATTGCAGCATTCATAACTTTCACATAGACCACAATGCACCTTGTTTATCCCCTAAAATTTTGCATATATTTTGTCTTGTATTTCTCTTGAGATTACTGTAATACCTGGTGCGGGAGAAATTGGAAAAAATGGTTATGCAAAATTTTGGTGTGTAGACAAGTTTCGTTTTGATCCATCTGAAAATAGTGAATTGGCCGGGTGAGACTGGTTCGGAGTTGCGTTGATTTGAATTATGGGTCTGTTTTGAATTTGCGGGAAGAATTCTGACCCAGTTTCCCGCAAAAAACGCGTAATACCATCCATTAAGAGATGTGATCCAAGTGTGCAAGTGTACAATAATCCAAGTGTGCAATTAGACCCACCACTCTGGTCTCAAGCATAACCTTAAAATGGTGTATAGTTTTAAAAGGTTTAAGCATCATTTTACCAAGTCAAATAAAGCAAAATTTAACATGACCAACCGAAGGTAGTATTAACAGGGTTACACTGAATAACAAACGATGCTAATTTCTTCCCTTTCGACAATGATGACATGCAATTATTGAAACAGGTCAACTTTCTTCTATATCGTGTGGTTTGTACACTAATCTACTCAAAATGCACACTATCACTTACTTCAAAGTCGCTAAATGTCAATTTTATTCGCGAGCCTTGACTGACGCAGATTTTCCACTCACAATTCGTCTCATCAGGATATTTTAAAGGGAAACGGGGACTTGTAATTTCACCAGTGCTGTTGGTGGTTAGGTCTCCTCCACACTGAACTGAAAGGTAACAACAACAACAACAACATCTTTATTTCTTACATTACATATACAAATATCACACCACCTGCAAATAGCAAGGCTAATCGAGGCAGGTGGTGTGTAGACGGCTTAAGATTTATTACGAATAGTTGAAGTGAAAAAGTACCATATTTATAATAAAAAAGGTCAGTCACGAGAGAAATTGAGATAAGAAAATCGAGGCAGCTATTTAGATAAGCGGGGGCTAATATTTTTTAAAATCGGAGATTATCGTGTTTAGGTCAGCATATCTATCCTGAACTTCAAATATTTTCAATAGAATTGTATGAACTTTTTCCTTAAAGAGAGATTTTGAAGAATTTCGTAAATTTTGCAGGTATACTATTCCAAATTTTGGCTCCCATAATAGAAAACGAATCATTTTTCTGATTTAGTCTAGAGTGGCTAATGTAATAATTTCCAGAAGAGGAGGAGCGAGTGCTGTAAGAGTGGATTTGTTGAGTAAGGTAAAAGGTAAAAAAATTCAGAAAGCTGAAACAGCTGGCAAAACTAGCAAGACATGAGAAATGAATGAGAAATGACAGGCATGTATTCGCAGGCTAAGAGAGTCTTGGTTTATGTCTTACTCATTTACCTCTAAGGACTTCTGGTTCATTGACTTCGTCAGATCATAGATTCAGCTGAACATGCGTGTGTTTTACTCCTAATAGAAAGACTTTGTTTTAGGTGGCGGCAGATTTTTTAACACTGTGAAAGGTTTGAACCCAGGAGTCATTTCATAAGTAGATTGATCTGGGTGAACGTAGTCCACCCGTATGGCTTAACGATAGAAAAGACGATGATTTATCTCTTGATTTTGAACTAGCAAGGTGCTGTAAAAATTTGTGACGTGCAAAGACAAGTATGGTTCTTGCTTTTTGAATGGGCACACGTTTCCAGTTTGACTTTGTTCACGAGTAACGCGTTTCATTCTCCAGTGATTTTTTTTTGTTGATTTCACTTTTATTTTCTCCAGCATATTGGCGTTAATGATAGGTTAACGGGTCTAATCTGAATTGAAAAAACCAATACAAGGTTTGAGTTTTTCGAAATAAAGTAGAAATTTAATGTCCTGAACGAAATCACGATTCGGTATGTTCTCGTTTTCTTGGTCGATGAACCTCAACAGTCTAGTGGACCAGAAGGTCATACAGATATCGCTTATCAGGTAAAGAAGAGACAAAAATAACACATGATGTTACTTCCTTTCTAAAGTTGGCGAGATAAATACGGTATTTCAATGTCAACAACCCGCTGAGTGGATAAGGCTATTTTGACAGTTTGGACAAAATAATTTCTCTTAGTTTATAAAATAATCACAGCGCGAATGGACGTGCTCTATATTTCAGCATCACTTCCGCTTCACAACTGATTTCACACTGCTGAATGTCCAGTTGATATATCGAGACCTTCAAAGATAACGGAAGAAGAAAGCAATCCCTGGGGGGCAGTCCTTGTTCACGTTTCTCTTTAGAAGTACCCTGAAATACAATGTACTTCATTTCTTTCATCTCTAAAACAAATGAAAGCTTTCCCAGGTTATCCACTGAAAGAAAAATGGGAGCCTGCCCAGATTATCCTGTAATATTTCAGTCTGTTAGGTAAATAGCACATTGTGCTTGACAAAAGCTCCCTGGGGAAAATACTGCAGCTGTAGTTTACATTTTAAGACCCAGAAACAAGCATTATCAAATACAATGTTTAAGGTTAAAAGAGGTTTTCCTTTGAGTGGTTAAATACAAGTGTTTCACTAATATGCGTCAATGGTGCATATTCCCCCACCCCCACTAACAACTTCCTTTCAACTTGCACGGTGGCACTAGAATGTTCTTGTTGTAGCATTTTTCTCTTGGCGAACTGTTCGCTTCCGTTTATTATTGAAACAAATCACCAGCTCTCTATTTCGACTTCCAATTCCAGCCGCTTTAGAAGCTAGAGAATCCTTTATAAGTCTATTTCATAGACTGCGACAACTAATTCAGTTCCAAGTATTATTAGCTTGTATCGATTCCCTATTTTTTAAAAGATCTCCATTGATGCGTGTAAAGTTCTTGAAGAAATGATTTACTCGTTTGGTCATGGTGAAACTACAGTAAAAACGCGGCTTACCACTATTTGATCGCCGTTGTAGATGTCGCCGTAACCACGGGAAAGAAGTTGCCGTAGAGGGAAATACCGTCGAACCGATGAAGACTCCAAAGCATACGCTACATGAAACACGGATTGAAACACGCACTGGTAAATAAAGTAGACAAATGAACTGATGGATTAATTGAATTGATACCATTTAGATTGAACTTACAAACAGCGTAACAGCATTAGGTTCGCCATATTCAATTCTTCGTAGTTAAAGTCGAAGTTCGGTGCGCTGTGGCACTTTCAGACATATATGTCAAATAGGGGTAACCTTATATCCCAGTTCCTCCTATAAGTTTTGGAAATGATCCCATAATATCAAATTTCAAACTGATACATGGTACGTGTAAAACGAAAAACAGTAATCCATGAAGAGACTTTCTCAAACATAATCGGACCTGGATCACGGGGTTCTCAGTTTGTAAGTTCACGGGCATCCCAAACTCATGTTAATACATCTGGTAATGTTGAGTAGCCACAGGTTTATATAAGAGTTCTTGTCTTAAGTTTAGGACAGTATGGCAAAACCAGGATCGCCTTCCGATTTGATTTTTTTTATATTCTTGAGTGGGAATTCCCGGTTTCCCTAGTCTAGACTAAAATCTTCAGCCAATTGATCAGTTTAAATGGAAAATGATACCCTCTTCTAGACCCAAACTCTTTGATTTATATACCCTATCCCAGAGTAAACTGCTTGAAAAACATACCCTTCCTTCTTGGCCTCATGGACAAAAAATACAGCACAGATGAGAGTATTTTATTTCGTTTCTTTTCAATGAGCTGAGATAAGGCGAGGGTTTTCGAATTTTTTACAGTTCCATGAACCCTATAATTCGCTTCGTTACGCAACATTGCCAAATGTTCTAATTTTAGCTAATTTTTGGCAAGCGCTCGCTTCAGGTAATGTGTTTGGGCAAGAGCCATAATAGCCTGCTAGCAAGCTCTCCTATCTGGGCGAGCCTCGCGAGAACGTGCGAGCGAGGGGCCGACGGGCCTTTTCTCTGCCCCTCGCGGCCTCACCACTCGCTCGCGCGTTCTCGCGAGACTCGCTTCGCTCGCCCAAATAGCAGAGCTTGCTCGCAGGCTAGAGCCATAATGGCTCTTGGTTTGGGATGCCTGTGGTAAATTAACTTTTTTGACTTATCCCCTTGAGATGCTGTTAGGATGGGGTGAGGTATAATCAGGGTCAATTTTAATTTTGCTGGGTATGTGCCCATGGCCTCTCAGAACCCCTACCCCATTATACTTGTAGCTAATTATGTACTTAGAGACTCCTAGTCACTTTTGGGCAAATATAATTTTCACTATCACAAGTTAATCACTCTCTATTTATGCATCTACCTTATAAAGCCCTTTATAACTGGCTCATTCAAACACTTTAGCCGCAAATCTTCTCATTTTTAAATACCTTATGTTACCAGAATTTTCTTGCCCTACTTATCCATGTTTCTTTGCCATAATTTAAATTAAAGGCAGCGTTTTTTCAAAAAAAGTCGAAAAAAGAATGATAATTATAATGATAATGATGATGATGATGATGATGATGATGATGATGATGATGATGATGATGCGGCAATTGGGACTGTAAAAAAACTGACCTTGCCCTTGTTAAGGATGTCCTGTAAAAGACGAAACGTCCGGTAGGAGAAAGGTATCCAATTCATGTTGTCCGCACTGATAATTTTCTGACTGCATGATTCTGATGGTGCTGTGAGTTTAATTTGCAATTCCAATCTGCGACGAGTTGCTACTAAAAGGCAAAACTGCAAATGAACCTTAGTGTTAGAATTATTTAACTCAGGAAGAATGGGAACTGCTTTGTGGCAATTGCATAATTATGTCATGAGATGCTACAAAGGCGATTCCTTAACGTATATATAGACCTTGAATGACCATTGACCTGACTAAACTGATGTAACAACGATGCAACTTTGAGAACTTTCAGTTGTTCTCAGTAGTTAGATTATCTTTCGAATATTTCAATATTTTGAGTGAAGTCCCCAGCAGCGTCGGTGCCTGTTTGGAGACTGAATTTGATAGTATTCGCCGTTGTTCATTAATAAATTTGTTCTTTGAAGAGAACAAAATACCGGGCTCGGTAGCCGGCAACAACAAAACGTTGTACGTAGCGGAAAAACTATCGACCTGTCGGAGCAATGTTACTCTAAATTTACAATCGAGAAAACATATCAAAAAAATTCGTTTCAAGATAGGACTGGTTACCGAGCAAATAAGTCACTTATACTTCTTATCAGTTTGAAATTCGGTTAACAAAATTATCAATTGCTGCTTTCTACCGTTTCAGTAGGATTTAGTAAAACATTCTCCTCAAGCAATTTTACACTGATGACTTCTTTCCTCTTCAAGACTTGTCAGAAGTGGATGTTCCGCAATCCGAAAGGGGCATCGTGGAGGTAAGTAGACAACAACTGTGCATTTCAACAGCTTCACAGTGAATTTACATAACTATGAGTAGATTGATTTGCAGCTACACGTCTAGGCGTGGTATTTGCCGTGAGGAATTTTTTTGTAAAGCCAACAGACAAACAAACAAAAAGGAAGACTGAAAAATTGGACACTGGCAAACGCAACGGCATTACGCGAATAAATGTTGCAACTAAATATTACAGTCTTTAATTAAGACCGGTTGCTGGTCCACTGATACCTAATTTTCCAAGTAGAAATTTGCGGAAAAAAGCGTTCTACCTCTGGTAGCTTGAGTCAAGCTGGGGCGATTAGCAGGCGAGTGCCATAGTTTTTAGCGGCGGAGCCGCGTAAAGATTACGACAGTTTGTTTTCCATTACACCGCCCTTCATGATTGGCTAATCAAATAGATCTACTAGTAATAGTTGACACTACAGCTGCCCTCGTTGTGTAGCTCTTTGAAATATACCGATTCATAAGAAAATTTTTCACACATATTCCATACAATAGGTGAGATAAATACAGGAAACGCAAGGTTCCATGCACAGTTTCAGGTCCATTTACACAGCTTTGATCAAAACATTCTCAGTTTCGAGAATAGTTTATTCTAAATCATAAGAAAAGATTTAATTAGAAGTTGAATTTTTCGCTATTTCTCTTTCACTTTTTACATTCAGTTCATTTTATTTGCCGGAAAGTAAGCCTTAGAAATTAAAAGGACGTTTGATCAATTCACACTTGCGCATTCTAGTCTTATTTTAAACTTTATAGTGAGCAGGGAATAAGTCAGCTCAGAATTTGATTGTCGGCGAATTTCTGTAATCGTCCTTCGTTCTGCTAGTGAGAAGCTAGCTGTTGTTCACTCGTCTTGCTTGTTCGGGGCTGAGTCTTATTCCGGTCAAAGAGAGAGAAAGAGAGTCTGGCAAGGTTTCCAATGAAAGATTTGTGAACTCGTGTCTTGCAAACTCTCCAAGTGTTTCTGTATACACAATTATACGCACCTTATAACTTCTTCTGCGCTTAACGAGTGTCGTTAAATTAAATTTTGGTCTATAACTTAACTTTCACTGAAACAACTGCTCCACAGCAGTCCCTTGGGGATGTTCTGTCTTTAGTCATCCTAACCATTTCGTACTTGCGGGCGCAAACAATAGAAACGTCATCATTACCTACCGATTCCTCGCGGCCCCTGTTCAAGCAAATCGAGATTTTTTCTATATTGACTGTATGACTGTATATTTCAATTGTAAGTACTTTCCTTTATACGCGAGAGTTACTGGAGTACCCCCTCGGGATTTCGCCTTCTGGGCGAAATCCCTGCGGGGGCAGTAACCATGGAGACAAAAGTGGGTGGCATAGCTCACTTCGGAAAAAGAAAACGGAAGGTGGAAATAAAAGAAGAAACATAAAACTGTGAAGCTGAAGAGAGAAGATGTGCCTGAGGCGATTTTACCTCGAGAAAAACCAGAAGAATGCAAATCCGTGTGCTAGCGTAGTTCAACTTAAAATTAGAGTTTCGAAGCAAACGTACATATTCTCGCTTCATTGATACGTCTTGCCTTTGGTACTCTATAAAATGCCAGACCAGGGGAGTTCTTGAAGTTATTTGTGCACAAAGGCACACAACAACTTGCATATCTAGTCATAATTTAAGGTTGCTGCTCTACACTCTTTTTTTTTTTTATAAGAATATATTTTAGAAAAATATCGAGGCTGAAATTTGCGAAATTTTAAGAATATTTTAAAAATAAAGCCGAGGCTGAGATTTTGAAAAGGATAGATATAATTTTGGCTGTCTTTGTCATTCCGCTATCTAACACCATGCACACATTTCTCATGCACAGACAACTCTTGCTGGTTATCAAAGAGTTTACTGCAGTGATTACACTTAATTGACCTTGACATAGTTGAAACAAAATCGGGTAGTTTCGTTTCCATCTCGCTATTTCTGTGCGAAATGCTTTTTTTAAAGCCAAAACGGCCAAGAAATTCCTAAAGTACCCCCCCCCCCCCGGGCCAAACACTTGTAATTGATACCCCAAGAAATTCTAAAACGGAAATGTCATAAGATGATAATTTAGAATAATACAAGAATATTTTCAGCCTAAAATCGGCAGAAAAATAAGAATATTCAGCCTACCTCCCCCCTCCCCCCGCCCCCAAACAATGGGCGCTTAGTTAGGGTTCCAGGCTACCACTCTTTTTTGTAGTGAGCTATTCAAAACCCATGACAGGCGGGATTTTCCCTCGCGGCGTCGCCGCTTTGTTTCGCGTAGCGGTTCCGCCGCGTGCTCTCCCCCGGGCACAACAATTCCCGCCAGCTAGCAGCTACACCTTTAGGCTAGGCTACACCTTCAGGAAAAGTCCTTTTAACATTCGTCTTAGTTATCATTACCCTCAGGAAGAATGGAAAACCACAATTATCAGCAGTGACCAACATTGAAGATTTTACAGTGTAGTTTTCCCCACATCGTTTTTTTCATGGCAGATCAATAGCCTGCGAGCAAGCTCTCCTCTCCGCGTTCTCGCGCGGCTCGCTTCGCTCGCCCAAATAGGAGAGCTTGTTCGCAGGCTACCCGATCAATTGCAAGCGCACGAGAATAAAAAAATTACGGAAAGACTACCCAAATGTTTTCCTGGTTTTCACAGTTTATTTGTTGGATACCGTATTTATTCGATTAACCGCCCTGGGCGCTTATTACATTTTTGGACCTTGAGTGGGTGCTTATTCGAGGTGGGCGCTTATTCGAGGCTGGGCGCTTATTAAATTTTCACCATTTTCAGCAAGTGAAGTATGTTTATTTTGCAACAAAACAATTAATGCTAATAACAGAAGTAACAAAGCAAGCTTTCTGTAAAATACTCTGCAGAAAACTCCGTCCTCGGGGAAGTCTCTTATTAGAATTTATTCACTCAAATGGGTGGGGTGGGGGTGAGCGCTTATTTGAGTTCGATTGGGAGGAAGAGGGGGGTGGGCGCTTATTCGAGGCTGGGCGCTTATTAACTTTTTCTGTCTTTAGGATGGGCGCTTATTCGAGGTGGGCGCTAATTCGAGGTTGGGCGCTTATTCGAATAAATACGATATTGAAGAGTACGTTCAGTAGGGACTAACCTTATGCAAGGTCGGAGATCCCACACTTAAATTCACAGCGGAAATATTAGAGAAATGTCTTCCCTTAATTCAGGCCTGGTTTTCAAATCATCTCAGCTACAAACCGCCGACCTAAACCTCTCACAGATTACAGTGTCACTTTCCGAGGCCGGTAAACAGAGGTTTTTTTCCTTTACCAAGGGTGATTGAAGCAACATGATTGCGTATATCAAACTCTTCGAAAAAACAAAATTTGAAGAGAGCCTTACGTAATTCATAAAACGACGCCTCAAAGCACCGTTCGCGGCTCGTCATAAAATTCCTTTTTCCCGCTCCTATTTTTAGCTCGCATCCCGAGTATCAGCACCAATTACTTTTTTAGCCAAATCCCGCATCTCGCCAAACCCTGTTGGCGGCCTCCCGTCAGGAGATTTCCAGAGCTATTTAAAAAATAAATACGAAAAAGGCCAAAGGACAAATAATTAAATGACGGTTAGTTTTTAAAAAGATGCAAGTGGACTGCTATTTAACTAGAAAAACATTTAGAAAGTAGTAGTTTTTAAAAAAGATCCTTTTTGAAAGAGGAGCTCCTTTGAGGTCCTTTGGGAATAGACGGATTACTGCTTTGTCTCAATAATTGTTTTCACAGGAACTGAGTTTTGACAACACGCCAACCGGAAAGTTGACACCCAAAACACGTAACAATAGCCATTCGTAGATAAATCATCATTGCACGCTTTGGGACGTTTTCTTGTCTTTTTCTCTGAGCTTTTTGTCCGATTGAGGACGTAGAAATGAAGTCAATCGGAAGCTTTTGCGTGTTCAGTCTTGGGTAAGGCGTTTTCACTTCCGTTTTTTTCTTTAAATTCCTTCTAAACCTACCAAGAAAGTGAAAAAGTATGACAGGAAATGCGACGGAGGATGAATTTTGATTTTAATTTACCTCGGGTTTTACTGACTTTACCGAGTGAAAATGTGGTCGTTACTACGCATATTTTTGTTATTTTGCAGGCTGCAGTTGTCACTGCTTGCTATCTCACTGGCCACCACAACAACAAAACCACGTAAGTAAAGTTCTGTTCAGTGATCGTGGATGACTAATCACTGCGATCTCTGCATGACAATTTGCGCAACGAAAAGTAAACGTGTGTCTAAGTTCATATATACCGAACCAGTTGTTCTTAAAATAACCCGTTAAATAAATTAAGAATTTTGTGATCGATGCCGTAGGATTCTAAACCGATTTGACGGCATTCTCCAGTAACAGATAGTAAACTGTATCATCAACTTGGCTTCAGAACGCCGAGGCCAATACACAGTTGACCCTAACAAATAAACCACCCGGCAGGCAAGAACATTTAAAACAACTCTTTTTGCCCTCCAAGCATTGTTGCTACGGAGTCAAAGTGTTCTTTACGGAGAAAATTAAGAGCCAGTGGCATCCATTCCCTAAATCCCCATCGAGCGGGATCTTTCCAGATTGACCATTATCTGCTTAAAATTTTAATTTTGAAACGTGATTGTTGGCGGATCCTATAGTGCGGGCAGGACGGCCCCCGTTTGAAAACAGCGCTTTTCATTTCTGTCATAAATAAGAGAAGTTTAACGACGTGCTCTCATTAACTGCCTTCTTGGGGATATTTTTTTAACGAACGGAAAGTTCGAATTATTTGTTTTATATTTTATTTCAACTTTTATACCGGGATTGGAAATTGAATTTTATTCAGTTATTATTTTAATTATTTATTTTCTTACCACCCGATGAATTCATAACCCTGGACTAGGGATCTTCAGGATAAAAGACCCGGTGAATTTGTGTCTGACCACGGACACATTTTAGTTCTGTCACAAGTAGTTTGGCTTGATTTTTACTCTTGAGTCCTGCCTGGGGTAAGAGCACGGGCTCATTTTTGTTGTCTGACTTTTTGGTGTCATAGCAACAAAATCGAGACTCGAATTGGCTGCGTAAGGACTCGGTTGTTTATAATGGTTAGTTCGTGCTCACACGGATTCAGTTTAGGTTTTGTGAGTATCTTTGCCATCCTAAGTAATCTGGCATAATCTACCCGGCGCCTACAAATTGCTATATAATTGCCACCAAGTAAACCTGAGTAAACCCTTTCGTTATCAATCGTTGTCGAGAAGCGAGACAGCACGCTACTGTTTATCTACCTGTAAAACCAAAACTTTTTTGTCGGATGTCAGATCGTTGGCTAGCGGCTCCGGCCCTAGCGCACGGCTGCAAAGGAGACTAAACGTCATTACGTGCACCTATGCACATTGTTAGTACACCTGTAATAGTATCTAGCCTACGTACGCGTTGCAGCCGAACTTGTCGCTCGAGACCCACATAGAGAACCTTTTATATCAGGGATTTAGACTGTCGGCGACGCAGGCTATAGTATATCTATACCACAGGTAGCCCAAGCTCGAACTGTTGTGTAACATTCGAAATATAAGGATTTGTATGACTTGTATGGGAAAAACCCTATCGTTTCTGTAAACTACGAAAATGAAAGGATTTCAATAAAAAACAGCTTACCTTACACAAAATGTGTGTTACGTCTCTCCTGTGTGGTCCACGGGCCGATTTATGGGTTTTCATGTAAACGGTTTTCTCTCTATGTAAAGGTTTATTATGGAGAGAAAACCGTTTACATAAAAAACCATAAAACGGCCATAAATCGGCCTGTACCCGTGGACCACACAGGAGAGACGGAACATACACTTTAAGTAAGGTAAACTGTTTTTATTAAAATCCTTTCATTTTCGTAGGTTACAGAAACGACAGGTTTTTTTCCCCGTACAAATCCTTATATATGGAATGTTACGCAACAATGCCGATGTTCGCCGATGCTCATATTTCGAGCTTGGGCTACCAGTGTCTATACTAGCCTGTGTACAGACCCTCTCGGTAAAATTGGTTTTTACTTAGGGGAGGGAGTCTTTTCACAGGCTATATCTATACATGAATTAAAGTAGTAAAAAAAGCTATTTCTTTTTATCACGCACCGAAATACCAAACTTAAAGGGACTATTCAAAGACCTATGTCATGCTGTCTGCTATCTTTTTGAAAGCTAAAACTTTTTTCGCATCAGTTGAATTCCAAAACTAATGGACGTAACGGTAAAATTTTTTATTGAAGACTATACTACCCCTAGGCACTGGAACTGTTTCCTGTCTTCTGTTGCAACGGATCGACATGGATCGAAACTTGAAAAAGATGGGCCAAATATATTCACGTTTTATCACAGGCAGCCCAAACTCACGTTACGAGGAAAGGGTGTAAAGAAATTTACTATGTGTCGGTGTCGCGTTACAGGCGATCGTTGAAAATAAGAGACTTTTTATGAGAAATAAAATGCTGAGATCTGCGAACGCTAAATAACGTTAAATCTAGTTTTTCCTCCAATGAAGTAAATGAAAAAGACTTACCTGCGATATATTCCACCATGTTTCGGTGTCTGCTTGTCGTTTTACAGGTTTTTTGCCTTTATTGCATAACCACTGTTACTCCCTTCATAAGACGAAGGGAGTAACCGACGCATCCTGCAGAAAGGTCACGCGTCACCTATGATAAAAAATTACTTTACACCCTTTCCTCGTAACGTGAGTTTGGGCTGCCTGTGGTTTTATGCTATGCCTGCATAAAGCACCCCCAAAAAAATCATTATGGCTCGTGCTCCTGAAATTGTTCGATATCTACGTCATAACTTTACAAGATCATTTTTTTTTGTATGGTAAAGGCACTAAGATAAGATGATTTCGATACAGATTTGACCTAAAACAACAAATCCTAGTCACACAGCGTCTTAAACTCAACTTGATTTTCGATGCTCTAACTTTGCTTAGAGCACACGCACCCCACCCGAAGGCGAAAAAACCACAAATAGGTTCATCGCAACGTCGAATGAATCTGTTCCAATAATTATAGAAAACTGCAGGCACCAGCAGGTAACCTTCCACTGACGGTTAAAGTTTATGTCAGTATAGAGCGATTTAACTTTGACCTAAAAACACGGTTCTCGTAAACATCCGTTTTATCAGTCAAAAGTTTAATATACAGTGAAACCTTTATTCAGGGAACCCCTTGGGGCCAAGGCAAGTGTCCCCTGAATAGAGGTATCCCCTGAAATGAATGGAGGTTGGGCTGGGGTTTGTTAACAATTAACCAAAAGCCTCGCACATTTGAGTCTGTGCGCTAAACCAATCAAATGTTTATATTTTTGTTCACATGTTGTCGGCTGGGGTCACACGGCCCCAGACGAATTACCTTAACCATTAGACACCTAGCAGTCCAAAAATTTGAACGCCAATTTGAAACGGCGTGAATGCATGGATGCGTGGTAACGTATCTGGAAGATGCAATTTTCAGGTTACTAAAAAACGAATAGCGCTCTGCACATGGGTAGATGATAAAAAATCTTATAACTCAACTTGAGGTCAATTTTATAAATTAAAGCTTTTACAGGTGTAAAATAGCTATTGTTTTAGACTCTAGACCAATGGCTATGCTTAAGAATCACACTTGTAAAAGTTTTATGAAATTAATCCAAGGGTTCGTCAGTTCCAGGTAACAGAAGGAAAATATTGAACGGTTAAAATCCGCACATTGCCGTGTGAACATAACCTTAGTCTTGAATGTGTGTTACCATAAAAGGTCATACGATAATTGTTCTAATAATGAAAACAATAGGTCATCATAAAAGATATAGCATAGCAATAAGCTACAATTTAAAAAATAGGTTTGCATGTGTGCAGTCCGTCAGGATATTTGCATCATGTTTGAGTACTTAAACAGCTCAAATACACTGGAAGCTCTCCTAAAGGACACTCTCGTACGCGGACAGTTCTACTACGGCCGCCTTCACAAAACCCCGTTTTTCTCAACTCTCATACAAACTCTGTATTTTTAGATTCCCGTAAGCGGACAGCTCCAGTTACGGACACCTTTTAAGAGTCGGCTCACGAGAGCGTCCACTATATTAAACAAACTTTCTCAAAATTTTACTTTACCTTTTCCTTTTTTCAAAAGATTGTTGCTATCAGCTTTTACGAAATGAAACCAATTGCGAATGAAACCTTATTTTAAACCATGTGTGAGGCGAAATACACACACAAAAAACCGCGTTTTCCTGTGTCAAACTTACTTTTCTAGTTGAGAGAGCAGCATAAAATTGAAGAGTTTGGCGGTGGTCAATGATTAGGCCGCCATGTTCCTGTCGTTGTGTTTGCGCGCATTAACAAATCTAAATGCGAGGGTTAAAACGGACCTCTTCTTTTCTTCTTATTGATTATTAGCGTTTGATAGAATTAAATTATCAACTTTCGGAATAAAACCTATCGTTTAACGAAAGAATATATTTGCATGCACCAGGTTGCGGAGGTTTCTTAAACAAGGCAAGTGACTCCTTCCAATCCCCTGGCTATCCAAACTCCTACCCTGCCAACACGACGTGCTCGTGGATCATAAAAGCCCCTACAGACCACAAGATAAATCTTGATTTTAAAGACTTTAAACTGCAGGGCAGTTCTCGCTGCCGTCGTGACTCGTTAGAGATTTATGACGGATCCAGTATCCGGGCGTCAAAGCTCGGAAAGTACTGTGGCTCGAGAAAACCAGTGACGCTTACATCAAGCGGTAATCGCCTTTACATCCGGTTTAGCAGTGATGGTGCTGTTGGTAAAAGAGGATTTAACGCATCGTATAATACCACTTTAGGTAAGCCGCACTGAACAAGATAATCGCTTTAGGCGTCGGCACTTGCCAAGGGACTGTCTGATCTTTCCGATTTTGCCTCCACTACACAACCGAACACACACAAAACAAAATACTTGGGGGCATGGGCGCGTCGGTCAGCCAGGCCTAGAACAGAATCCGTGAAAACTAAACTAAACATAGCGAGTTGACGCGGCGAGGCCGACCGCAGAATGACACGCATAACTAAACGGTCACTATACCACGTAACCGCGATCCCTCGCGCGCTACACTAGAACCCAGCTCTCCATTCCATACCGGCAAAATAGTAATTTACACAAATTACACAATATTTTGCCACTTGTCGAACATGATATCTCCTCGACGCGGTATTCTTGCGTAAAAGTGCATAATTTCCTTTGCCTGTTATTGCAAGCTATTAAGTCTATACCTCTCGTCATTTTCTTCTGGCAACTTGTCAGTAATCTCCACTGACGCGGAAATGTGGCTTGAAATCCCGTTGAAGCTCTCACTTAATTTTAAGGCTTCTTTAAATTGCATGCCTTACTTTTTTGTAAATTACATTACATTTTGCCCTTTAAGTCCCAATAGTGACAAATATTAATTTTCTCCTGAAAATATCCATACAAGGTCAAAGAGATTAGGTTATGAGCATTAATAAAATGATCACTTAAAAGAAAATGCTTTGATCTACTATCAAGTTCTCTCAACTTATTCTTCAAGGAAATGTATAGAGATCAGTTTGAAGAACTTGTATGTGGATAGCGGGGCTTAAAGGGTTAACATAAACGCTCTTGCGGCATTATATCATCCTGCTCTTAAACTGCAGTAATTCTGTGGTCTTTTTAAATCTTAATAGTCCCCTTTCCCAGCCAATCACTTGATAGGTAGTGGAAAAAACGGTCGGAAGCGAGGGAAGGTGACTTCACCAGAATCCCTCTGTTTTAAACTAAGAACGTATGTTATCCGCATTTAACTACTTTGAAAGGCAAACAGTAGAACTGGACTTTTCTCCTTAGGCCCTAAATCCCCACCCCCTCCTCGCTTTTCTTCTTAATGCTCACTTCTCATGGCGCCGTCCGCTCTTTCTGGACGTCTAAAACAGGCTACTAGCAAAGAGAACAAAACGCTCTACTGGGTGCTAGCGAGGCCTTTTGCGAAGGCGGGTTCTTCATAGTCATCTTGTTGTCACTCTTTTTGTGTTTAGGTTGCGGAGGAACATACCAAGGAAGAGATGGAACTATCAGCTCTCCAAAGTATCCAAGCTTCTACTCCTCCAATGCCAACTGTCTGTTTAAAATAATAGTACCCACTGGGTTTAGAGTGAAGGTGACGTTTAAAGTTTTCAACCTCGAAAAAGGAGGTATGTTTATGAAAAGGTACAAAACGTAGGTTGGTAGGTAGGTAGGTAGATAGGTAGGTAGGTAGGTAGGTAGGTGGGCAGGTAGATAGATAGGTAGGTAGATAGGTAGGTAGGTAGGTAGGTAGGTGGGCAGGTAGGTAGGTAGGTAGGTAGGTAGGTAGGTAGATAGGTAGATAGGTAGGTAGGTAGGTAGGTAGGTAGATAGGTAGGTAGGTAGATAGGTAGGTAGGTAGGGTAGGTAGGTAGGTAGGAAGATCGGAGTTTGGGTAGTTAAGAAAGTAAATATAGGTAGGTAGATAAGTAGGTAGCTAGGTAGCAACGCCCACTTTTAGAAAGCAAGCTTCTAAAATAGCTTTTTGTGACAGATGCAATTGTAACAACTTTGCTTTTTTTTTTCAGGAAGGAACTGCTATGACTTTGTTGAAGCGCACGATGGGCCTTTAATCACTAACCATTCTCTTGGACAGTTTTGTGGAAAACATACACCCTTCAGTCTCCATTCAACAAGCAACGTTATGCTTTTGCGGTTTCATTCTGATTCGTCAGTGAACAATAAGGGCTTCCAGCTTGCCTATACAGCAGATAGTGAGTAATGACAACTAAGTTTTTCTAAGTCCAAAGTAGAAAACGTTCCCAGTGGTTCCCTATGATAAGCAGTGTACCTTAAATTGCCAAGAGTGACCAACATCAATTTTCCTCTTACAATATCCATAAATTGTCATGAGCAGAGGTCATGAGAATTTATAAAATGATCCCCAAAGGGAAAATGCTTCGATCTATTATCAAATTCTCTACACTTATTCTTTAAGGAGATATATGGAGTTCAGTCAGGAGAATTTGTATGTTGATATTGGGGCTTAAAGGTTGAGCGCAGACCCAATGGGGAGGAATTTCAACACGCCACATAAAAAGGAGCAAGGAGTCCGAGAGAAAATAGCAGCTAGCTTCCTGATTTCTTGGCTACTCGGTACTTTATTTGATCCTTAGTTTCTACTTTGTAAATTTAATAAGGCCTCTAAGGGCAGTTTCACGTGACCTGATTGTCTTTAAACAGACTATCGTTAACTGCGCTGAATTTCCTCGGGACCTGAATCCGCGAATCCCTTTTCTCTTGATAAGTTAGAGTGGGTGTTATTTTGCCGTGGTGTAGACATATTCCAGTGTCTGCTCAGTCCAGCATATTAAACCTCATTTCGTGATCGAACGGTTGGCAACACCAAGTCTATTGGGCCAGTCTATAGTAACCAATAGTCTTATGAAATAAAGTTGAAGTTGAAGTTGAAGTTGAACACCAGGACACTGCCGTTTTGTTCTTTACGCTTGACTATCGCCGCTGTTTCTGTCCTCCCCGAGAATAGACTAGGGACCTTACCATTCGACAACGGCGACGTCCACGAAAACTTCGCTGAAAAATAGACTCCGCATCCTTTAACTTTTTTCGCGATTATTCCAAGGGGCTCAGTTACTTAGAAGGGAATTTGGATTGGAGCTAAAGAGAAGGGACCGCGCCCAAGTTCTGACAGAGATGGTAGAATTTATCGGCTTGCCGTTCCCGTTCCCAAGTAAACTTAAAATTTGGTGATTTCACGTCTTAGTTATGCAGGGACTGCAAAGAAATGTACAAAAAGCGTGATGCACGGGCAAAGTTGTTATTTTGCTCATTAAACCTCTTGCTTTTTTGACGTTCCCGTTGCCGTCGCCGTCGTAGTTTCGTAAGGTGCCTACTGTCTGTTCGGGGGAGGTGTTCAGAACGGCAGCTGTCAATCGAGCCTTCTTGCGAGATGGTCACAACAACGATTAAACCAGTTCATCTGATATTTTATATGATCAAGGTCTGGTATCCACAACTACGGTTTCCCCAACGAAAATACCTTCGTGTGGATTTGATCAATTCCACTGCACAAACGGCAGATGCATCGATAGAGTTATGGTGTGCGACCGTAACGACGACTGTGGAGATGGGGCAGACGAGAAAAACTGTTCCTGTCGCAGCGATGAGTTGACATGCGCCAATGGGAAGTGCGTCAATAACCTTTGGAAATGTGATGGTGAAGATGACTGTGAAGATGGGACGGACGAGCTGAATTGCGATGGCCCTCCTTCAGGTAGTAACAAATAAATAATTAAATAAACAACGACAACAAAAAATACTGTATTTAAGTGTCAGTTCGTTTAAGAGCGAACTGCTAATTGCTGAAACTTTTACATTCCCTACCGTAGGCCAGTCTGTTTACAGAGGTTTATTATTATTATTCAGTCAAAATTTTTCTTCTATTCTGATTTGCTAGTACCCCGCCATTATTCTCCACAAACAGTAAGCGTTGACCAAATTTCGAAGATGTTTGCAGATATCAGTTAAAAGTGACTCACTTTAAAGATAATTGATAGAAAAAGGTACAGCAGAAGCCGCTTTCACACAGCTGGGAAAAAAAGATTGATTTCAAACGTTATGCGACCAGAAATAACCGGAAGGTAAGGCAAGAATGTTTTCTTAAGTTGGGGATATTTTGAATGAACAAGACCCTCCTCAAACTGCGTAATCCTTAATATTATACTGCGCCTCGTCTTATAATTGCCAAATATTAACCCTTAATCTTTTGCCTTTCAATTTTTGTCCCAGTGACCTTGAACTGCTCTATTGATAACGGAGGATGTGATCACAAATGTACCGAGCTCTACATTGGTGACAGGAAAAACATCCAGTGCTCGTGCCAGAGAGGTTACAAGCTACAGGCGGACGGTAAAAGCTGTATTGGTGAGGATTTATTGATTGTTAATTTTACACAGGGGCTGAACATACATTGGCCAGGAGGTCCTGGCGGCACGGTAATTAACCCTTTCAGAGTGAACAATGGAGTTTTGTAAGGTGATTTTAACTTTTGAGTCTTTGGGAAAAATTCTATGCTGTTACCACTGAAATGAAACCTCTTTGGCCAAACGTAAGCTTAGTACTACAGTATTCAGTTTGTTTTCAGCACTTCACAAAGTGAAATTTGGGAATTTTGTCGAATTTTGACGTTGGCTTCTTTTAGGAGTGCAAGGGTTAAAGGTAGCGAAAATCAACTTTCTGATTACATGACAACCGAACCAGGCCGGGTTAGGGATCCCGATATCGTGAGCCGGTACTCCGGCTAACACGACTATACCTCCATTTTACTAGGCTCGCCTGGCCAGCCCGGCGAATCAAACCAACAACTTGGCTCGTTCGGCTTAAAAGTCACCTCCATAAAACAAGCCAGCCTGGCTCTTGTAATCAGCAACATAGTCTAAGTTCATTCGTGTGAGGACAAAGACCTTTTTTTAGGTCACGTGGGCATCGGCTTAACAAACAGGTTGGGCTGCTTTTCCGTGACGTCATGACAATTACAACTATTCTGTAAAAGTACCAATCAAAGAACAACAACAACAACAACAACAGCAAAAACGAAGGAAGGGAAACAGGGCTCGGTTGAATATGTCAAATCCAAGGGTTCACGTAGTCATGCAAGCAAGCTTTTCTACACGTTTGGTGCACTAGAAAAGAATCACTTTGTCTCTTGTCTTTCTCTTGCAGACATCGATGAATGCCAAACCAACAATGGCGGCTGTCAACACCGCTGTATAAATACAAATGGTAGTCACCAGTGTGCTTGTAATAAAGGACATTTTCTCAACGCTGACAAGGTCAAATGTGAAGGTGCGCAATGATAACGGAAAAACTTTAATTACATTCTATCAAAGAAGTCCCCCGGAAGGATACCATATAATTTCAAGGAGATTTCTAACACTAGAAAGCTCAGGAAAATTCCGAGCTCCCGGTGAGAATCAAACTCAAGCACAACCCTCTGAGTTCTAGTTCAGAAGCTCTAACCACTGAACCACTGGGGACTCTATGGCGAGCTGGGTCGAAATTTAAATGCAACTACACCAGTCATGAGAGAGATGAGGATGCTCGCTTGATAATTACAATTAAGATCCTAAAGAAGACCAATCTGGGCGTGGTTCAGGTTTTATTTCACTACGTACCTATATGTTTTTGGCTAAAAATATTGGCTTTCCTTTGCGGACGCGCTAGAGGACGAACATCCTGGTCGCCGGTCGTGAATAAAGAGCTCATGGGCTCTTACCTGACACTACATTTGTTTGTAGTTGATTGTTGCAACCTATTTGTCGACGCTGTGATTTGTGATCCTGAAATGAACAAAATTTGCTCATATGTCTTGACCAATCAGAAGTACAGCCAAAACCAAAGCTTGTTTAACACTGGCACTCAGATGCACTTCACAGCTGTAGCTCCTTACACTGTTATTATTCTCTTTGTGATTCACCCCACAGTAATAACTATTGCTTAGGTTTTACTGCAATCAGTTCTCATTCATTTTGTGGCCTCTGATGTGCTTCCTTTTCTCAGACATAAACGAGTGTCAAAGCGGCAATGGCGGATGCAACCATCACTGTATCAATACTGCTGGCAGCTTTTACTGCAAATGTGATCCTGGGTTTGAATTTACAGGAAGTAACCGGAAGAAATGTCGGGGTAAGATACTTGAAGAAAAAATAACGTGCGATAAATGGTCTGTAAAGGAATGTTGTGACTTAAGAGGGACCTGCCAACCGAATTTCAAAAGTACAGCTTGTTTTCTTTTCTTATGACCATAGAAAATGCTGTATAGATAGTTTGATTGATGGATAAGCTTCAAAGACTGAGTGAAAATCGTTCATATCTCTAACCCCTTTACGCTATTCATCCATCTAGTACTTACATCTAAATTACACAATTGTAAATTGTAAATATCTCCCATAAGGGCTTTTCAGGGATAATTTACAATATTGTTTGGGGACATCGGCCAGACTGCTTATGGTATAGTTTACAATAATATTAATGAATTAAAGATTTATGAATGCCCCCTAATGTGAGAGTGTATTTTTCATAGACCACCACACTGGGGACTATGTGCCCTACTCTTTAACGTCCCGCACAGAATTCATTATTTTTGCTACGCTGTGGTTGTAAAACGGGGCCTACGGTTTATCGCCTTTATCCGAGAATACTAGGAAGTCAAACCGTTTACCGACGTCCGTCAAGGCAGCACTTTCCCCTCAGTTATTTAAGGACCATTGGGTGTTGGTCCCACCAGGGTTTAAACCAACGGCCTCACTTTCCGCGATGGCTTCATTTAACTTTGAACTCTAGTTGCTATGTTTCCCTCCAAATTTAGATATAAATGAATGTGACAACAATAATGGTGGATGCGCTGATACATGTGTCAATACTGCTGGAAGTTTTTTCTGCCAGTGCCCAGTTGGTTACAGGTTGCAAAACGATAGTAAGACATGTGAAGGTAGGTTAAAACTTCTTTTATTAGCAAAATTTAGCTAACTCTCAGGCATACAGAGCGAAAGGGAGGGAGTCACCCCCCAAGAAGGTTTTGCAGGTTTTTCTCCGACAAAAAACTTAACAACTTAAGACGGAATCCACCAGGAAACTGAGCAATTTTAACTTTCAGTGGACAAAAAACTTGTACCGGAATATTTAAAGAATATTGCGTCCTTTTTTGCACTTTTCAAGGGCTAAAGATGTAATTAGTTGTCTGTAACTGAAATAACACCAAAGAAAATTTCTCAAGGGAGTCCGAGAAAATGAATGTCAAATTTCACGAGAATTGTGAAAACACAAGTAAAATTCGGAAAATTTCATGTGTAAGATGTAATTTTGTGAAATTTGACATTTATTTTATCGGGTTCCCATAAGAAATTTTCCTTGGTGTTATTACAGATGAATAATTACATCTTTAGCCCTTGAAAAATGTAAAAAAAGAATGCAATATGCTTTGAATTATTCTGGTACAAGATTTTTGTCCACTAAAAACTAAAATTACTCTATTTCCTGGTGGATTCCGTCTTAATCTCCTCCCCAGTGGGTGAGAAGGAGATTAAGAGGGTGATGGTGGTGGAACGAGAGGGGATGGGGAGCAGGCTTCCAGATTGCTTGTCCAGCCTTCTGCCTTCTTGCCAGTGGGTCGGGTTGTTCGAAGCTGGGTTAAGATAACCTAGGGTTAGTGCGAAATTTGAACTCAGATATGATAGCTTAAAAAACAAATCCAGTTTAATTCTCTGTGCCTACAATTTGATGATTGGATACTCTAAAAGAATAGAGAAAATTATCCGAGAGAGTGCTTTTGATGAAAAGAAAAAGAAGCCCGGGTTAAAATTTAACCCTAGGTTAGCGCTAACCGGTCTTTGAACAACCGGGGCCAGGCCTCCTTCTTTAATCTTGCGCTGCGAGTCAACTGGGGAATTTTCTTTTTGTCTTGCTATAATATTTTATGCATGCATTTGCACGTGGACAGGACGAGGCGTAAAAATACAGATTTCTCTGGGGTAACATCACTTGGTCTGAAATGGAACAGCAAAACATACAAGCTAAAATGGTCAATAACATCACTTATTCCTGTCATCATAATTTCCTCTTGAATTCCGTATTTGAATAGATATCAATGAATGTGAAAATGATAATGGTGGATGCGAGCAGGACTGCCAAAATACTCTGGGCAGCTATATTTGCACATGCCGCGATGGATACCTTCAAGACATAATGGATACCTATACATGCATGGATATTGACGAGTGTATGGAAGGCATGCCTTCGTGTTTTGACTGCGTTAACACAATAGGAAGGTGAATAGACATTTCAAACCAGTTTATCAAGCTTTGTTTCTTAAAGGAGCTGTGAAACGAAATTTATCAAAATTCTAACAGTAGGAACTGCCACCAGATTGATAGACTTGCTACAAGTCGACCTCTTGGCGAACGGAGCGAGCCTTTTTAGGCCGCGAAGCGGCCGACCGAGCGACGAAGACGCGAGAGGTCAACCTTCGTCCCGCGCCCTATTAATGCGACGAAGGACTTTTTGAAAGTCTACCAAACTGAGTGAAACATAAAAATAACGAATCAAAACATTAAAACAAGGTACAAGTAACACACGAATTACAAAAGAAGGCAGGGATGGACAAACTTTAAAACGATTAAAACAGACTGCAAATGTTGTAGGTTATTTTAACTTGTAACTTGTTAGCCCAACAGTTTTTCAAAGTTCGTTGTTGTTGTTTGTAACGTTTGATGCAATGCATTTTCATTTACAAGTAATTATTTCTTCTCCAATGTTAACTTGAGTTTCATAGCGCATGATGAATCGTAATTGGCATTATTAACAAAAGGAGCGAGCCAGCGCCGTGACACAGCCCCTATAAGTGCGAATATGAGTGTCCTTAAAGCAAGAGAGGATCGAACTTATGCAAGGCATTTTGGAGCAACGCACGTCAACCGGAAGTGGACTCTTTAGATTCCCGAGCTGTGGTTTTGCGCAAATTTTCAGTTAAATCGTCTCTACAAGTGTAAGCCAACTAAGCAATACAAATTTTATAGCGTCAAGGCGTATGTATAGGTAATAGCGTGATTTGTAGTGATATTTGGCATAAATACCACGAGTGATATTTCGAAATTGTTATACGTAACGGCTCGTGAAATTTGAGACAATTTTGAAATATCATGAGTGGTATTTATGCCAAATATCAAGTACAAATCATGCTATTATTTGTTTTTACTCCTAGGTATTTCAAATTAAGCTGAAATACCACCGCTCTAAGCCAATCAAATTGCAGAAATTTCTCATGTAATAGTACAATAAATGAGAAAAGTCCTCACTTCTGGTTG